AAGGGAAACTGTCACAGTTGTGGCAAGTATGGACACATGGCGAGGGATTGTTGAAGTGCCAGAGGTTCAGGAGCAGGAGGCAAGAGCAAGTCTGACACGAAAGCGAAAGACAGGAAACCCGAAATGGCGGCTAGCACCAAGGACAAAGGGAAGGACGATGACAAACCTGAAGGTGTCTGGTTAGCACACGAATCAAGCCAATCAGAAGAGAAAATGACATTTACCTTTGCCACACTCACAGACTCGAGCCAAAAACAAATTGCTCGAATCGAATTGTTCGACTCGGGCGCTTCACACCACATGTCGTCGTACCGGCACCTGTTCCAAGACTTTGTTAGTATTGCGCCAAAACCAATAACGACGGCCGATAGACATACATTTGAAGCGACCGGAAAGGGAAACATAGTAATTTTCCTACCAAACGGGCAGTCAAAGACACTCTGTAGAGACTCGTGCATCTCATGGTCTGATATGGCGCTTTACACTAGGAAGTACATAGCACGAACTTGTAGTGTCACTCTGTGCACTACCCACAGCTATCTCTATATGACGCGCAGCTTTCCCGCGCAACGCGCGCCATGCGCGCACCATTCCCGTGCTTCGCGATGTATACGCATGCGCGCCCTATAGTGCCAGCCATCCAGATGCATCCATCCACTGTCCACCAAGCTCCCTAGTGTGTATATTTCCATTTCCTTTATTACCATAGTGTTCCACCTTTATTTTTATCATGGACTCTCACCCATATATATCCTTACATACCTACTCGGTAGCGCTTTGGCTCCGCATGACCGCGCTTAGGTGCGCTATATAAGCGCCAGCAGTACATACTATTACTAACTTACTTTTTCACCCATCTTTACTTACCTACTTAATACCTAGAAAGTCGCAGTAGAAACCTATTCATTAGCACATCACATCTCACATCTCTTATCTTGTTTTATATCATCACTTAAGCATAGTCTCTCATTTCTGCATACGCGCGTGCGCTTTCCCGCGCTTCGCGCTAATACGCGCGCGTGTTCCCGCGCCTTGCGCGCACTTGCACTTTCTCGTGCTTCACTTCTGCGCATACCTCTAGATCTTCGCTGCACCTGCTTCCCCTTTAGGGTCGAATGCACTTGTCCTTTCAAGTATAGCACACTAGGCAACGCACGACCTTACAACTTTTTTAGATACAATTAGGAGCATCTTTTGTTCTTAGCAGTATTGTTGTTTCTACAACGCATACTGCTGAAGGACGTTCTGTACTCACCTCAAATGGGCCTGACCTTGGTGTCAATTAGTTGCCTCGCATCTGCAGGATATCCTGCGTTGTTCCGCGAAAGTTCCTGCAAGATCTTCAATGAGAATAAGAAGCTGATGGGGGAAATATCAGTCAATAAAGGGCTGTATTGCATTAGAAGCCCCAAAGGACTGTTTGCCGGCGCAACAAGTCCAAAGGAGACCCTTACCATGCAGGAAATTCACGCGCGCCTAGGTCACATGGCGCCAAGTACTATCGCACAGATGATACGTGATGGCGTAGTCACCGGAATAAACCTTGACACGGCCGAAAAGACAATGGACAGCTATGAGTCCCGCAAGTACGCGAAAGCGACTCAGAAACCAATTGGCAAAGTCCGTGACCCTCCGTGCTGTGAATGATTTGGCGATGAAGTGCATACAGATCTGTGGGGACCATCCCCAGTAAGAACACCTGGACAAAAGGAGTATTTTGCATCATTCACAGATGACCATACCAGATTCACTCACCTGTACCTACTACGAATGAAGGATGAAATGTTCAGCGCGTACCAGAAGTATGAAGCTTGGGCGAACATGCAGTTCAACACCAAGATCAAACACCTTCGCTCAGATCGTGGTGGGGAGTACACTGGAGAGGTGTTTACTTGTCATTTGCACAGCAAAGGAACAGAACGAAAGCTCACCATTCACGACACGCCAGAACACAACGGAGTCGCGGAGCGACTCAATCACACCATTATCGAAAGAACGCATGCGCTGCTGCATGCCAGTGGGTTGCTGAAGTTCCTGTGGGGGGAAGCCATCATGCACGTCACCTGGTTGAAGAACCAGACACCAACATGTGCACTAGACAATAAAACACCCTATGAGTTGTTATTCGAAAAGAAACCTAACCTTGAAAACTTACTGGTTTGGGGCTGCAATGTCAAGGTCCACTCGACGAATGGCTCGAAGCTTGATATGCGAGCGATTGACGGAAGATGGGTGGGGTTTGACCACGATAGCAATGGCCACCGGGTCTACTTGCCAGAGTCACAACGAGTCGCGGTAGAAAGGAGTGTGGTGTTTAATATGGCGGAGGTGGAGATGCCCATAGGACAAGGAAGAGAACCGGCACACCATGCGGTACGAATCGATGATGGCAGTTCAACACTCACCGGCCAAGGACTACTTCAAAACCCCCCTCCAGACCATCTAGGTCAACACTTTGAACCACCTGCCCCACCACATCGATCTGGAAGGGTAAGGATAGAGTCAGCTTATATCAAGAGTCTGCATGATGGCACAGGCACCACAGACGGCAGGAGTACTGACTTACCTTGTGGGATGCAGCCTGTGGGGGAGTCCAGTAACCTGGCTGTTGAGCTAGGAATGGTGGGGGAGTATGGTGAGATGGACAAGGACGACAAAGAAATCTTTGTGATGGTTGCAGGAGTAGCGGCAGTAGAAGGGACCAATCCCACAATGGTCAAGGAAGCCAGTGCACGGACCGATTGGCCTAAATGGGAAGGTACAATCAACAAGGAGTTAAACACGCTGGAAGAAGCATGTACCTGGACCGTTGTTGAACGGCCAGACAACGTCAACGTTGTAGGCTGCAAGTGGGTCTTCAGGATCAAGAGGAACGCTGATGGAGAGGTTGAGAAGTATAAAGCGAGATTAGTGGCAAAAGGGTACTCACAGGTGTATGGACTCGACTACTACGACACCTACGCACTGGTGGTGCGTCTAGCCTCCCTTCGCACAGTACTTGCAGTTGCGGCCAGGAGAGATTGGGACATAGACATTTTCAATTTCCACAGCGCATTCCTAGACGGGAAATTAGATGCTGATGATGTAATATACATGGAACTCCCACCTGGACTCAACGTCAACAACAAGTACAAACATCCCATCGCTCGCCTTCATGTCGCCCTCTATGGTTTGAAACAAGGCACCCTCAAGTGGTATCAAGAACTCTGCCGGCTGTTGTTTGGATTAGGGATGAGAAGAGCAGAGTCAGATTGGGGAGTGTTTTTCAAACACATAGGTGTGGATATTCTCGTTCTTGCGTCTCACGTTGATGACTGTACTCTCACCAGCAGCAACAGCAACCTCATCACCAAGTTCAAGTCTGACATTGCCGCTCGCTTCAAGCTCACAGATCTTGGCCCCATCGCATCCTTGCTCAGCATGAAGGTCACGCGCGACAGAGTCGCACGGACCATTTCCTTCTTGCATGAAAGCTACATCGAGTCCATCCTAGCTAAGTACAACTTCTCAGATGCCAAACCTTCCTCCATCCCAATGGATCCTAACACACCACTCACCCAATCGCAATCTCCCAAGACTCCTACCGAGTCAACGCTCATAAAGCACATCCCATATCGCGAGGCCGTCGGCTCGCTCATGCACCTCGCTGTCAGCACCCGGCCAGACATAGTGTTTGCCATCTCAACCATCGCCCAATATGGCGCCAATCCTGGCATGGCCCACTGGGAGGCCATCAAGAAGATCTTTAGGTACCTCGCAGGTACGAAAAAGATGGTGCTCACCTTTGGTCAAGGCAAACTCGGCCTTGAAGGCTACACAGACGCTGATGGCGCCTCGCAGGACCATAGACATGCCATCTCTGGCTACGTGTTCTTGCTGGATGGTGGAGCCGTGTCCTGGAGCTCGAAGAAGCAGGAGCTGGTGACACTTTCTACGACAGAGGCCGAGTACATTGCTGCCACGCATGCGGCAAAGGAAGCCATCTGGCTCCGGTGCCTTATCTCAGAAGTATTTCGCCCACTCACGCAGCCAACAACCCTCTACTGTGACAATCAGTCCGCTATTGCACTCGCAAACTCTGGCGCATTTCACGTGCGCACCAAGCACATAGATATTAGGTACCATTTTATTCATTTTTCAATTGACAAAGGTTCTATTTTACTAGAGTACACTGCCCTACAGACAATATGATTGTGGACACTCTTACCAAACCCCTTCCTAGCCTCAAGGCTAAACACTTCACTACTGCTCTTGGACTCCGCTCGGTTTGAGGGGGAGTGTCGCATATTCTAACCTCACTATGCCTCTTTCATACGTACATCACATACATAAGCTACCTACTATTTTCATTCGCGCTCGATGGTACTTCCTCAGTGACTTACATCAGTCTACTGAGGTCAGTACATTCTATTTAGCTAGTACATACATATCTAACTGATCCTGTAGCTCGTGTACTTGCTGCAGGTATATATCCAATAGAGTGACTTACATCAGTCTACTGAGCTCGTGTACTCGCTGCAGGTATATATCCAATAGAGCGACTTACATCAGTCTACTGAGCTCGTGTACTCGCTGCACTTGTTTATCTTTAGTTCCCATCCTGACAGTTGCTGCAATCCTCAAATAAAACTCTACTCACAAAACCATTGACATATACAATTTCTCGTACAACTTCTAATTTGCTTAGAAATAAATCTAATGTTTTCCTTATGTAACATACTCAGTGAAGCAGCCAAGTGGTTACTTTAGCAGACATGAATAGAGCATAGGGGATAGGAGATCCAGATGTATTTGGGAATCCCAAATAAGGGTTTTTAAAGCTCCGAGAATAGTCCAACTGATGTTCACGTGGTGGACTGAAACATCACTGAACTCGCTACTACATCACGGAACTCTCTACATCGCGGAACTCTCTACATCACCGTAATGCAAACCGAGTCACTGTAATGTTGGTACTGTAGTAGCACTATTCACCATCAAGATCTATACAATATTGCCATATGGCATCAAAAACCTCGTTCAGATCAGGGTTCTTTGACACCGTGACCGTGACATCTGGCAATACTGCAGCTACTGTGGCTGACGCAGGAGATAGCAATGGTGTGGGTACTAGAGGAGCTGCTGATGGCAGAGGAGGCGACTGAGCAGGAGGAGAGACTGAGCAGGAGGAGGAGACTGAGCAGGAGGAGACTGAGCAGGAGGAGTAGACTGAGCAGGAGGAAGAGACCGAGCAGGAGGAAGAGACCGAGCAGGACGAGAAGGAGCAAACGGAAGGGGCGCAAGAGGAGGGGGCAGTGGTGACGGCAACCTGGACAGAGAACCCATTGTTGGAAGTGCTAAGTTCGATGGAGAATGGATGGATGGCTGCTGGTGCAAATCTGGCGGGACCTGGTAATAGCAGAATGATGCGCTATCCGATGCAGCCCAGGCGGCCATCGTGTAACTCTGCCTCGCAGTGCGTTGCGCTTTAGTATTCTTGGGTTCGTACATCTTAATGTCGAGACCCTTGCCGTTGTTGCAGCTGCTGCTTTCTAGTTACACAAGTCGTGATCATCAATGATGACTTTGAGTTGGATATAAGGAGGAAAATGTACTACGTATTGGAGGCATGTCTAAGTGCCGCACCATCCTGACGATGTACTCAGCACAAACGAAAACAGCAGCACTCAAAGGCAGTTTGAGTGCAGCTATTATTTTAATGTCGCGAGTATTTAAAACTCACCTTCACGGTGGCGATAGCATCACTGGCAAGATTACATATTGTAATGCATGCCCGCACCTCAAGGTCCTATGTTATGTCACAGTGCCAATTTAATTTTAATGAGCGTGTCTGGAGCTTCCCAGTGCTCTCTGATATGATGTCCGAGCCAGCCACTGAATCAAAATTTTATTGTCGCCTACCAAATAGACCCTCGGCTCGAGCCTCGAACAGCAGAAATGTAAGTCCCTGATAATAATCAGATAGTTCAAGGTTGCGAGACCCCGAATCTCTGGCAATCCTTCGGTTCTTCAAGTTAACTTGAAATCCTTCACCATGATCGAATAGGACCGTACAGGGCTAGCAGACCTTATAATCCTAGGGTTCGTTATTCAATTTGAATGAACTCATGTTCACGAAATTGTGGGCTTGAGGGTGCAGCAGCCAAGTTGCTTTTCCAACACTCCCGCCGAATCTTGGAAGTTTGCACATGGGAAAAATTATTATAATTCAATATTTAATTGATCTGCAGAGTGCAAAAAGGGAAAATCTGGATCTACATCCGTTCCACTGGAAGAGTGTCTGGCGTAGGGCGTAGTAGCGAAGCTCCGAGTCACCCTGTGAAGACATTACTAACGATATTCATATATCAAGATAGATCCCTCATGGTCGCAATATACTCACCTAGCTGTAATGATTTCCCATAATATCCAGACATGCACTCAGGCTAGGACATCACGGTGGATGGTGTAGTGCACGTTTCTTCGGATAAAATTTCTAGTAGAATTGTATTGAAAATAAAACCAAACAACAATTATACTGGCTCACCTTCATGTTCTTGTTGCCGAGATGATATCAGATACTCAGGCTCGGAAAGGACAAGTCTGAGAGTCGACTCCATGCAGCACCTGAGAATGAACAAGAGTCCATATGCAAGTCCACATAAAGCCCTTCAAGTTCTGATATTCTACCATCAAGTCCATGTTAATCACGGATGATGGTAGGACTGGAACAACAACTGCTGGCCCACCGTGACCGGGTACTAAGTTTGAGTTGAGATTCCTGGCCAACTGGAAATCAGCACTTGCCAATACCGGCCATGTCCCGAGGGCCGATATGATTACGATCATTTGTAATTATGTCTTCACGGGGCTTCTTGCCACCTGTGACAAAGACAACCGCACTCAGCATCCAACACTCATGCCTGCCACCATAGTAGCTCGCTCTGATCTTAAGCATGATTGCAGTTCTTTCAATCCAAATTTCCCTAGCCATTACAAGCGCTATGAAACTAGAAGTTTCACTAATGCACAGGTGACACGCAGTACCGGCAATGCTGCCAGCAGCCTGAGAACCCCCAGCGAAAATCAATACAAGCCAAAGCACCTGAAACATGGGCCAGTTTCCCCAGGATTGCTGCTGGGAAACAGAACTACAGAACCCCGGTCCATCAAAACATGCCTGCCTGTGGAGCAGGAGATACAAGATAACAAATCAGTTGATTGTGAAGAGGGTACAAACAATGTTGCCACTACCGCAATGTTGTATGATCATGATATCCAGAAGTCCTACCACTCTGAACGCTTTACTCCAAGTATGTTCAGTGGGGAGTCAATGTTTTATTGTATTCTTATTTGGTTGAAGATGTACAAAATGTTTTGAAGTATTTAACTGGACTGGCTCCGGTAAATACCTACATGGTATGTTCTTTATCAGCGAGTCAACAATATGCTTACCAAATATCACAGGAATTCCATGGTGTGAACCTGCGAGAATTCAAAATAATAGAACACGAGGTGGAAGAAACGGGCTGCATATCGACAAAGCCCAGGTCGAGTTTATCAAACTATTTCTGTTTTGGTAATGCTAAACTGAGCGCTTCAAGGCTCGCTTATGACTATAACAAACATCTTCTTACCATCAATATGCCTACAGTCCTGCATGAAGCTTTTCACGATGATCTGAAGGATTCGTTCACATCCGCTATCAAGGATCTTCCTTACAATCGCAAGATCATTTGTCCTCAAGTCCATATGAACTACAAACTCCGCTCAAGAGCAAATCGGTCACGCCAGATATGGTCATCTCGCTAACCGCCATGCAGGGGCCCATGCAAAAACTGCTCATTCCCTACATAGGAGAAATGGCATTGATAGAGCAATGGGATCATGTATTCAAGAAAATGGAATCGATGATCGTTGCACGCCCAGAGATCATCTTGGCTATGATTGTATTGGTACGTGAAGCCAAACGCTACACCTCCCCTCAAGAAGATTCCATCGCGACGGATACGTTACACAACCATTGCAATGACGAAGAGAAGCCCAACCCCTTGTCTCTCGAAGAATTTATCACTCAACGTTCAACACTACAGAACTTCGAGGAACCCGTACAAGTCAGTGACCACACATGGTGTCACGTCGAGTCTGTGGAGTATTTTGTTTGGATTAAAGGAGATAAGGATAGGGCGATTGACATGCATAACGGCAAGCCAGAGGACAGAGCATACAGTGTGAGTTCTATTGTGGGTACTCTCGTCTATATAACCAAGTTCTTACAGGTCTTAATGCCCGAGCTGCACATGGACGACGTCACAAAGATATTCGACCGAGGAATGTCGCAGATGAGAGACCTCTTCCTCTCATTCCAGAAAGACCTTGACTTTAAGTCTGCTGTCGATCATTCCTCTCTTGCGAATTTCATCATCCCGCTGTTCCCTATTGACTGGCACCTTGGCTCTCTGGGAGTCCTGACTGCAGCGGACCTCACTGCATACACACGCTATGTCAACTGGCATGATGTGTGTTTCAGAGGCGCCAAGCGCACGCGTGATTCGGATTCGTCTTACAAGCCTTCGGAATCGGAGCACGATGGCAGTAGCTCCGAGTCTGGGGAAGCTCATTCATCGAAGCCTAGTGCACGCACCCCCAAAGTCCCCCCCCCATCTTACGTTCAGAACCTTCACAGTTGGTCGTAGTAACTCCAACTCTACACCCATGGCGCCTGTCGCCAGTAGCTCGACGGCTCCCACCGCGACGAGCCAGCCTGAATCCTTGAAGGTGAAATCCAAGTCCAAGTCCAAGGGTCATCGCAGCAGGGGTCCCAACAAGCATCCGAGAACTTAGCACACCTCGGGGATTACATGTAAGGGAAACGTTCAAGATGATGTTCATTATGTTGATTCCGCCTTTTGTTTTAGCTTTTTGCTTTTTGCTTTTTGTTTTTGCTTTTTGCTTTTTGTTTTTGCTTTTTGCTTGTCGTTTTCCATGTATCGTCTTTCGATTCACGCATTTCACTTACCAATTCCTGGCATTCTGTGCGAGCTACAGTACAGGTAGATAGTATAATCCTGACATTTTTACTAGCACTACTACCTCGTGCACCTGCAGAGCATGTCACACACTATGGTTTGTTATGAAGTACCTCTGATAGGATACAAGTAATCCCGAATCACCACTTACCAGTAGCCTAGAGTCATAACGGATGAATTAATAGCCATCCGAGTCAAATCCGAGTCTACGCTCAGCAAGGAACTACTCACGTGACGACAGCTGTTTGGTAACTTTAAATGTCCGTGATATGTACTGGTACCATCGTGACTTCAGTACCAACAACTCACCTCATGCACGCGAGCCAGTGCAGGCGCCTCTTTCAAGTCGTCTCGCTTCATTTGTGGTTGACGAGTGTCTCGTCCATCTCTACTAGTATACGTTGAACAAGGATATCGCCGATTATCTGACCATGACAGAGCTTTCTGGTATCCGAGTCAGTCACGGTTTAACGGTGAGTATGCAAATTTATTGTTTTTTATTTTATTTCTAAGAGCGCTGACCTGCACCAAACTGGTTCGGTGCATGGATGACTAATGCTCTCCCATGAGCCTAATACCCTAGAAATCACTACGAAACCATTTCCCTCTATTCTAAAGCCAGAATGCAGCTCAGACAAATATTTCATTTCATCTTTTCAATGGAACTCAGACAGGCTGAATATTTTTGTATATTTAATTCTGCGATGAATTTTGCTTAGTCATCCTCAACAATGACTCAGGCTGAATCCCACACATGCCAGGTGACTGTGAAAAATAGTTCTCGCATGGGTTACCCTGGGAAAACTTCCTCAAAACCCTAAATACTTGCCTCGCGTCATTTTCTCATTCAACAAAGTGACATCAGAACAGAACACCAATGATCATGAATATTTCTCTTGCAGTGCACAATCAGCCTGTCACATGACCCTTCAGTCACATGATGCTAAATCACATGATCTTAAGTCAGGTGACTTTTGATCCAAATCAAGTGATGACAGAACACTCAGCCCAAGCATGCTGACTAATGCTGACTAATTATGGTCTCATTTGATGCAACATAAGCAACCCCTGCAAAATGATTTCTGGTACCACTGACTAAGCTCACCCCTCATAGATGGCGGGAAAACGTAGCACAGCCACCCTTTTTTTTGTATATAAGACCCAAATTTTTGCCCAAAGAAGAGAGCTTTTTAGCCCCACTTTCAGAATAAAATTGTGTGTGAAGTGTGATCATTGTCAACAACAGTGACCAGGGCTGTCAAGTACCTTCAGCAAAGTCATTGTAACCAGTAGTCAGCCAGCAACTTTCAGTAACCAGCAAGCCCCTAAGCTCATCAGCATCAGCATTCAGCAACACCCTTAGCTCATCATCACCAACGACAACCAAGACCTTGAGCTCACTGTGCTCAACGACCAACAGAACTTTTTTTTATTTTTTTCTTCTTTGATTTTCTAGTTTTCTTCTTTCTCTTTTTCTCTTTTCTCTCTCTTTCTTTCTTTGTTTTTGTTTTTGTTTTTGTTTTTGTTTTTGTTTTTGTTTTTGTTTTTGTTTTTGTTTTTGTTTTTGTTTTTGTTTTTGTTTTTGTTTTTGTTTTTGTTTTTGTTTTTGTTTTTGTTTTTGTTTTTGTTTTTGTTTTTGTTTTTGTTTTTGTTTTTGTTTTTGTTTTTGTTTTTGTTTTTGTTTTTGTTTTTGTTTTTGTTTTTTCGCTCTTTCTCTCTTTTCTCTCTCTCTGTGATCCTCTCTCTTTCTTCTCTTTCAAGTTTCAGTGCTAAGCTTTCATTCATATTTTCAGAAGCTTTTGTGTTGTCTCTTTCGTCCATCTAGACTCCGAATAGTTTGGTGGGGAGACTTTAGGGATTGACAGTAACGCTTGACCTCACTCATCTGAGTAGTGATACTGAGCCAGGATCTTCCTTGTCTGCTAGACTTTAGTTGTTGAATAGGGGACTTGGTACTGAAACCAAGGACATCCGTTCCTGATTCTGTTTAATACTCATCGTGAGTTCCTTGGCAGCAGGTTCAACAGTGAGCTAAGAGTTCTACTGAGCATTGATTAGTCTTGACCTTTGATTCTACCTGTTTGTGCTGAGGGGGTTGATTGCTGTAATTCCACACAACTCTTTCGAGATACGATTGTTACAAGGCATTGTTGTTGAAGGAAGGTTTGAAGAGGTGTCTTTTTTTTCTTTGTTTCTTTTTGTCATCACCATACCGTTGGGTTGACTAGTTTTCTTTCGTCTTTCAATCACTGCCATACCGTTGGAGTGATTTCATTTCAGTTTCATTTTTGTTGGATTGACTGCATTGTTGCTGACCTTACAGAAGTACTGTGGTCTGACATAGCTTGGGAAGTGTAAACAGCCACCCACGAACGACCACGTTATCAGCCATTGGTATTTGTCTGAATCGCTGACCGTGGAGATATTTGTTTTATAGGTGTTTATCTATAGATCATCTATCTAAGAAGACAGCGCTTCTATAGATCTTCCTCATCAGCGCGTGCATGACTGATCTCGCGGCCAAATACCTCCATCCGCTATGTCAAGTGCGTTTTTTCGTCTCTGCCAAGGAATACTTCTCACAAGGCTACACGAGTTCAGCTTCTCCAGTATCTTTAGTGGTATGGGGGCTATTCCAATATGTCATACTGAGCACACAGGTAATCGGGTTGGGATTTCGCACATGAGCAATATTGCTACACCAATGGTCAGGTTTCAATATTCAATTACGGTCTGGCATTGATTTGAGTGGAACTCAGCTATGAAGATCTATCCTGAGGCCTCTTTCCTCAGCAGTATCAACCAATCAGACACACTCCAACTTCTCGGCCTCGCTTTCAAAATAACTGACCAAAACTTTCATTCACTTTCTATTCATTTATCCAGGGCCTTTTGAGTCCTCAACGCTCTTTTGCCTTTCCTTCCCGATTAACTCACTTCATCGTAAATCTCACTGGTTTCCGCAAAGCTGTCAAGAAGTATGAGAAGATTACACAGGTGCCTGCTCAAGCCGCTTATATGAAGGAGAGGGTAAGACTTTTCTGGTGCCTTTTGTAACATCTTCAAATTACGTTATGGTCAGGTTGAGCCCTCAGCTTTTGCTTCTGGCGCAATGGTCAGCTCAATGCTTAAAGAGATGGAAGAGCTGTTTGCCGCAAGATTCGGTACGTCGCTCAAAGCTCCTACCTTTTCTCTATCTACATGTTATCACAGAACGTGGTGACAAGAAGAAAGCGATCACTCATCTTCGTGTTGGTGTGACACAGAAATCCCATCATTTCAGTATGTTTCATACGGGCATGTGGCTTGGGCTATCTATACCAGCGATGGTTGCTGGTTTGATGACATGTACATTGTGTTTTCCTGATGCTGACGTCCACGGAGATTCTTATGCCACCTGCAGGTCTGCATCACAGTACCACTGTAGAGACTCATGCCTCTCATGGCGTGATATGGCAGTTTCCACTAAGGGAGTATACAGCACCAACCCGCAGCACCACTCTGTGTACTGTCCACAGCAATTCCTATATGAGGCGCAGCTTTCCCGCGCTTCGCGATGTATACGCGCACGCGCATTCCCGTGCTTGTGCGCCCTATAGCGCCAGCCATCCAGATGCATCCATCCACTGTCCACCAAGTTCCCTAGTGCGTATATTTCCATTTCCTTTATTAGCATAGTGTTCCACCTTTATTTTTATCATGGACTCTCACCCATATATATCCTTACATACCTACTCGGTAGCGCTTTGGCTCCGCATGACCGCGCTTAGGCGCGCTGTAGAGACTCGTGTGTCTCATGGTTTGATATGACAGCTTTACACTAGGGAGTATACAGCACCAACTCGCAGCATCACTCTGTGTACCATCCACAGTGATTCCTATATGACACGCAGCTTTCCCGCGCAACGCGCGCCATGCGCGCACCATTCCCGCGCTTCAAGATGTATACGCACGCGCGCGTTCCCGCGCTTGCGCGCCCTATAGCGCCAGCCATCCAGATGCATCCATCCACTGTCCACCAAGCTCCCTAGTGCGTATATTTCCATTTCCTTTATTAGCATAGTTCCACCTTTATTTTTATCATAGTTTCTCACTCATATATATTTTTACATACCTACTCGGTAGCGCTTCGGCTCCGCATGAGCGCGCTTAGGCGCGCTATATAAGCGCCAGCAGTACATACTATTATTTACCTTACTTTTCACCCAACTTTACCTAGTACTTACTACTTAGAAAGTCGCAGTAGAAATCTATTCATTAGCACAACACATCTCACATCCTTTATCTTGCTTATATCTTCACATAAGTTTAGTCTCTCTTATTTCCGCTTACACGCGCGCGCTTTCCCGCGCTTCGCGCTAATACGCGCGCGCGTTCCCGCGCCTTCGTACCTTGCGCGCACCTGCGCTTTCTCGCGCTTCGCTGAAGCGCGTACCTCTAGATCTCCGCTGCACCTGCTTCCCCTTTAGGGTCGAATGCACTTGCCATCTCAAGTATCGCAGACTAGGCAACGCACGACCTACAACTTTTTAGATACAGTCAGGAGCATTTCTTTGTTCCTCTCAGTATTGTTGTTTCTACAGCGCTATATAAGCGCCAGCAGTACATACTATTATGGACTTACTTTTTCACCCAACTTACTAGTTACCACCCACCATTTTACTTAGCAGAACATAGTAGAAGTCTATTTGTCTACACTTCACATCTCTCTTCTCTTATATTGCATCATATTATCACTTAAGTCTAACCTCTCTATTGTTTCCGCACGCACGCGCGCGTTCCCGCACCTTCGTGCCTTGCGCGCACCTGCGCTTTCTCACACCTCACTTCAGTGCATACCTCTAGATCTTCGCTGCACTCGCTTCCCTTTAGGGTCGAATGCGCTTGTCTCCTCAAGTAACGCAGACTAGGCAACGCACGACCTACAACATTTTATAGATACAGTTTGGAGCATCATTGTTCCTCTCTGTATTGTAGTTTCTACACCGCTACCTCATTATCTTCATGGAATATCATACTTTTTATCTACTCTATTTTTTTAATCCCTACATTACTTGCTTTGCTCATCGGATTGAATCTCGTCGTATGGGCCGGAGAAAGGATCAACTATGTGTTCATATTTGGTGCGCATAACTTGTCTTGTATATCTCCCTCATGCTGACCTTCCTTCAAAGAACTTGATGTGCAATCTCGACTTGACCATTGCGAGTATTTTGAGGTTTGATGCCTTGAAATTCTATGAAGTTCATTGATGTAATTCCACATTAGCTTCCCACTTTCCTATTGTGCGCGCTAGCACACTGCTTTATGCTTTCTTTCATTCAAGTCAGTCCTCCGCTCGTCTGGCTGCTTGTATGCCCTGCCCTTGTGTTTATCATCATTTTCAATCCCATTCCGGCAAGGTCACATCATCTGTGTCTACGATTCAAGCTAATATGTTTTTAAAAATGTATAGAACATCCTCTGGGGTCATTCGCGATGGTGGCTTATCAAGAGTGTTGCAAGACTAGGTGTTAGCGGTTTGTGGACCGTCGGAGTACGTTCATATCATGTGACGCATAGCATGTTGTTGACGCGATTGACAGTTCACAGATTTCTGGCTCGGGTTAGTGTCTACAACTCCACGCCATTGTATGCCTCATCTTAACCTTCACAGCGATCAATTTTGCAGTCTTGCCTATAGTTTGGGGAACCTCTACTTTGTTGGGTGTTTCTACACCCAATATCCTTATGGTTCTAATATGTCATCTACCCCCGAGTCGTCACTGTACAACAACACTATGACAGTTCTCCTGCACTCCTCTCAGACGATTAGTTTGATGCCAAGAGGAGCATTCCTTTATTCTGCAGATGACCTTGCGCTTCAAAATGCGTGGTCGACTTGTGGAGCGGAAGTGAATTGGGGTTCTTACTTCACACTTGCTATGTTACCGTTCCTAGTGCGTTTCGTGCAGAGCATTAGACATTACAAGGATTCAAAGTTACCTACTCATCTCATCAACGTAAGTCTTCACTATCGAATGGAAGCACTCAAAAACAGCTTACTTCTTGGTTGAATGTGCAGGCCGGTAAGTATGGGATGGGTATAGTGTACTACTTCTGTTATTACCTTTGGAGACGCGACGGTAGGTTGCCCTCTCACACCCCCACTCTCATCTGATCTTCCTAAAGGAGAATCTGATGATGATGCTTCTTTCATTGTGTGGTGTTTGGCGGCAGTTGTCTATTCACTGTATGGGTGTGCATGGGTGAGCTGATGAACAGTCAATGGTGGATACACTCTCAACTTCACTCAGGACTTCGCAATGGATTGGTCTATCTGCAAACCCCGCACTCAATACCCCCTCCTCAGGCGAGACTTGGTGTACACATCACAGATTCCGGTGCACTCTACCTTTTACTCAATCAAATGTTCCGAATTTTCATTCTATTCAGCTGTACTATGTTGCTCTGGTGAGCAGAATGTATACTCATGACTCCACTCGTTCTAGACAATCTGTTATAGGTCATGAATCTTGTCATTCGTTTTCTCTGGATCTTCTACATACCCATTTGGTCATACTTCAATCTTCAAACATTCATATGCAGCCTACTGGAGATGATAAGGAGAGTTGTGTGGAATTTCTGTCAGTGTCTTTCTTTGATTTTCCTTCTATATAACTCGCTGAATTGGACGAGTTGCAAGAGCTAGCAGCAGTAGCCGCTTTCATAGCAGCACTACCACAGAACATGATTCCATGCTCGATAGACCCAGCCAAACCTATTGACCCCCAACTTGTACTTGACTTCGACACTCGTAGTCCACGCGCCGCAGACGAATTAAACCAGATCGTGCAAGACGTGTGGTCTCAATATCCTGTTATGTTGTTCACCAAGGTTAGTCGCTTCTTCTCCTTCTTAGCCTCATGCTGATGCTCATCTCTCGTCCCAGGCTCACAATGCACATTCTAGGGAAATAAGACGCTGTAGAAACAACTATCCAGATGGTGGTATTCTGAACTATGTGTTGGGTCTGCTTGCCTAAGCTGCTATGCTTGTGGTGACAAGTGTGTTTGACCCTAAAGGGGAAGCAAGTACAGCAGAGATCTAGGGGTTGGTGCAAAGGGTGCCGTTCGTCGGCTGACATGGAGCGCGGGAAAGCGCGTGAGGTGCGAGCGCGAGAACGAAGCGCTTAGGGCGGCCGATGCGCGGGAAGGTAGTGCTTGAGCGGCGCGAAGCGCGGGAAATGCGCAAGGTGGGTTTACAAGCAGAGGTTCGTAATAGACGTTAAGGATGTTCTTATTGCCAATAGATACTGACTATGGCATGTGACGGATGAGCTTTACACTGATAGTGAGGTGCAGGGAGCTTCTATATGATTCGATGATGTAAAATATGAACTACAGGCGCTTATATATGTCTAAAAATGTGCCCCTGAAGCGGAGCCGAAGCGAGTAGGTAAGGTATGTAATAAGGGTCCATGACATGAGAATTGAGCAATCATTAAAATAGAATATGGTCTGATATGGAGAAAATGATATGAACACGTACCAGTGAGGTTAGTTTGGACAATGGATGGATGTGCGACATAGGGCGCTTCGAGCGCGGGAAAGTGCGCCTTATGCGCGCGCAAGAATGCTGCGCTTGGGGCAGCCGATGCACGGGAAGGTAGCGCGCGCTTGGCGTGGGAGAGTTTCGCTTCGCATAGGGAATGATTGGAAAGGTATTGGCACAAGTTGTGCATCAAACTGTACTCTGAGACAGGTCGCATATATAGCCTCTGCAAGGCCACAGAGATATCAGTCTCTACAACGCATCATTGCAGTTATGGACTTACAACCGCCTCCTATGACTTTTGAAGTTGATCAACGAGGTAAACAAATTCCCTGACTTTGATTTACTAGACGCTCATCACTCTACTCAGAAGACTCAGAAGTTTTGATCCCTTTGTTACATCATCTCACATCTTCAACCGATCTTCCCCTCGTGCTCATTGGGGGCAAGTCTGTTGGCTCCATAGCTGCCATCCGTGAGCTTGATGAGTCCAGCGAACTCTATATGTTGATTACCAATGCTGGTGCGGTCCTTGATGGCAGACAGAAGAAAAAAGTACACTGAGGGACAATACTTTCTGATTGGACCTTCCCCATCACTTCCGAAAATGACCTAACGACTGGCATGACCTCCCAGCGATCGTATATTGCGTATGGCCTAAATGGCTCAGGAGGGCTCAGATCATCGGAAGAAATTTGTCTCGAGGTTAGATGTTTAGCATTCGTCTCCGTCACAATTACGATATTCAAATTATTCAACTTGAACATGTGACGCAGGTTGATGGAAGACCGGTGAAGGTACAACAATTCAGATGGTGAGTCTGAACAATATGTTGGGTCTTGCAGAACCTAGCTGCTATTCGACCCTAAAGGGTTTCTGGACTAGGCTTAAGGCTCAGAGGAGAGGAAATATCATAGAAACTTGCTAATCTCTCAGACTCATACTGGTAACTGGTGAAAAGATTGCTTGATTATGTAAGCTACAAAAGTGCCAACATAAGGTAAGGTAAAAACAGTCTCTACAAACCCAGCCAGAAATGAATCCCTACACCGGCGCTCCCGACTCAAGGTGGGCATGAATCACATTTGGGCCATCATTTGGACTTACTCTGCCACTGCATCAGCCTATGTCTGAGTCGGCGTGCCAATCCAACTTTCACAATGGCAGACAGTAGCAGTGATTTGAACATGAACGCTAACAGTACGTTATGACACCATATTTCGAAGAGCCGATTTACTTAACTGCACCCTCCCTGTCATCCATATTTGGGATTGCCCTATATGTCTTAGTTTTTTAGCGATTGCGTATATAAAACGGTCTGGCAGGTTTCTTCCTTACCTCCATCTTCTCTACCGTACTCTTCACTTTACCTGTCATTTCTACCATGTCTATGTCAGAACCTGGTGATGAGGCACACGCCCTCGCACTCCCAGACTCCTCAGGGGCGGTCCCTACCTCCACGGAAGCAAGGGCCAAGCGCCACATCGCCGCGTTGGAAGAAGAATTACAAACGATGAGGCAAGAAAGAGGAACGAAGCAAAGGTTCGTCGCATACCGTCTTACTCACTACTTCTAACTCATTGATCATCAAAGAAAAACTACCTACTACGTCGCTCAAGGCAGGGGGGTTCGTCGCATGAGCGTCCTTTATACTAACCTAGAAGACTTGATCGCCAAGAACGATCGCAGGTATGAGGAAGCCATATTGGACAACTTGGAGGGCAGCACCCCAGAGTATGTCTTTTGTGTTTTCGTGACATATCTAACTCCATTTTTCAGACAAAATCACCTGCAGCGAGGCTACCTCGCACTCTCACAAGCTCTGCCATGGTTTCATTCTAAACTTTCAGACCTTGACGCTGATGACTGTGAAGATATGTTGAAAAAGGTCCATTTTCTCAATAAATTCACGCTGTGTGCTCATAATGCTACAGATTAAAAGAGGAGCTGATGCGGCCCGTGGCGATGATACTTCCACCCTTAAGGACCTCGTCGCTACCTGGGTTAATCAGGATTTTCACCTGTCGCCTCTACTCCGGTGTAGGGATTCATTTCTGGCTGGGCTGGTAGAGACTGTTTTTACCTTACCTTATGTTGGCACTTTTGTAGCTTACATAATCAATCTTTTCACCAGTTACCAGTATGAGTCTGAGTGCTCAGTAGTTTTCTATGATATTTCCTCTCCTCTGAGCCTTGAGCCTGGTCCAGAAACCCTTTAGGGTCGAATAGCAGCTAGGTTCTGCAAGACCCAACATTGTTCAGACTCACCATCTGAATTGTTGTACCTTCACCGGTCTAATGACAAGCAGCTGTGCGGCTTCGCACACGACGTTTGTGGGAATTTACTATGCCCTGCCGAGTGGGACTGGAATGATAACCGGTGAGCACTTACCTTCATAGAAATATTACATGTCGTTGAAACCTAAGCAGCGTGAAGGCTGGTATTCGCAATAGAACATCGGACTTCATTGTATCAGAAAATTCCTGGCCGCGGTTCATGTACGAGAACTACTTGTTCGATGTTAGCGACCTAGAGAAAGGTCTTTTCAAGTCGAAAATCCTCGTTCAGGTTAGTACATGGGATCATAGTGTGTAGACTTTACTCAAAATACTAGGCTTTCAACGCCATATTTACATCGCCATCTTCTGCAAGAGAAGCTGATGGCGATGGCGATGGTGCCGACATCCTCGAGAATAACAGGCACGCTCGTCGGGCATTAAATCAAGTCAAGGTCAAAATGTGTGTGGCCTCCATTATCAACATGAAGAAAGTCACCCCTCGCTCCATCGCTTATATTGTTTGTCAAGTGAGTAAATATGATTGCCCACCATTGATGTCTGACTCGACATCTACTTCTGGCAGGTTCATTTTGCGCTATCCAGCATCTCATCTTGGCGCACCATCGATGGGGACTTCGACTATGAAGGATTCTGGAATAATATTGTTGACTTCTTCAAGGAAGTCCCTGGCCCTGTTGCGCGACGTAGGGTAAGCAAACTTCTCGAATGGTGGACAAGGTATCAGTTATTGTGGCATAGTATGTGTCCGATATCTAACATAACTATTCAGGAAGGTTTTCGGAAAAAATCACCGCGAGGATCTCACACCTGAAGTTGTGTCTCAGATGTCTGTTACAGCGCTGGCAGAACATAGAAGGGCACAAGAGGATGCTGTGTTCGATTCAGAGTAGCTTGACCATTGTTTTACTATACGTCATTGTATAAACATTTTATAACATTTATGTTTGATGCAATCATCATGTCGTACTCGCCATGTGTGATCAAAATTGAATATCATTTGATGTATGGTCGGTTTTCGCTGATAATAGTAGTACTGATGCATACTGTACAGCATGCCATCCACTACTAAACTTAATATCTCTTACAATCGAGCCAAACCATAGAGACACTCTCAATGTAGTCAACTATATTCAGAAATGCAACAAAACAAATAGCTCATCACCTACCTAAAACTCTAGCATCGTCTCATTCACTCTCCAAGCAGCAAATCAATCTTTTGCGCGAAATTCATTGTATCCGGCGTGCAAGTGGAACGGAATAATAATTTTTGTTGCTAACCTAAAACTCTAGCATCGTCTCATTCACTCTCCAAGTGGCAAATCAATCCTTTACGCGAAAGTCATTGTATCCGGCATGCAAGTGGAACGGAATAATAATTTTTGTTGCTATTTTTTGTCTTTTGCGAGGTTGATTAGAAAAAAGTATCTTGCTCTCCAAAGCCAATTTCAGACCTACACTCCGTCGTGTTGATCGCTGCCAGCCTTCCTGTCACAAGATTTTTCTCATCCCGTTTAGAACTGGCACCAACCTGCCAGTTTTGTAGTTTTGCTTTAGCGTTTGCTGTATCTATCATTTCATTTAACCGCTATGTTGCTGCTCAAACAGAGCAGACGAAATATATATATTCATATTAGATATGTCCTTCGGTGGTTGTCCTGTCAGCTGATATGTATTTTAATGTGCCAACACTAATCACAGTCCCTCTGCCCACCAAACGAACCTCTTTTGTTAGAGTTTGCAGATTATATTTTTCATGAAGGAGATTTGACTTATTTAGTATCTAGCAGAAAATCGAGCGGCACAACAATATCTAGTTGAATCCGGCAGTCTTGTAACATTTAATTTGCTATGGCGTCTAGACCTCCGGCTTACTGATATTTACCTAATCCCCTGACTGTGAGAATTGGACGTCGCAAGCAAGATTAAGCTGTAACTTCCGGCATCAAGAAAATTGAGCAGGATCAAAATATCTCGTTCAATCCGGCAGTCTTAGAACATTTAACGCGATATGACGTCTAGACCGACGACTTACAAATTTTCACCTAGTTGCCTGGCTGTTGAAGATCGGACATCACAAGCAAGGTTGGCTCTAACTTCCGACATCGTAATTTGTGTGCACCTTTCTAAGCGGAGCCGGTATAGCGTTGTTGGCAAAATATTTTCATGGTTCACGTGTCTGAGCAACAACTTGTGGTGTCGCGAGTTTTGAGGTACCAACCGAGATTTACTCTGACTTCACAAGGGGACAGTCTTGTCGTTATTGTCTAAAGCAAGTATTGACGTCAGTGCATCGACACTAGACAATTCCTTCTGTAACCTCTCCTAATGGTTGAGAAGTATTTTGATATGCAGGTAACATCACAGTTATTCCACCCACCAAGTACACCTCCCGCGTTAGAATTTACCACTGTGCAAGGGTATCACACCCATGTGAGTGGTGATCATGGGCGCTTTACCTTGACATTCCTGATCCGAAATCCATTCCATTGGGCTTTTGTTACATCTTTCGTTCATAGACTAGTTTAAATATTAAGTGGTGCATTGAGGCCGGAGCGGCTTGGCTTGTTGACTTGAAAACTCATCTTTCCCTCACAAAGTCAAGTAAACCCCCCCACCAGATTTATGGAGATTGTTGCAATTGTTAACTATATAAGGTCAACTATGGTATTTCAATATGTTCACCGGTTCACTGATGATAGACTGCTTGACTGGTTGGATCCTAGGTTCAATTTCATGGATGCTCAAGGACATCTACAATGCATAATCTGCAATACACTTGAGGTATCAAAAATCGTCTCTTAAGTATAAACATAAAAACAGACCCCCAAGGTTTTCAATGACATGAAACAAACGACTGCTGAAGCCCGAACAACTTCAATGATACTTAAAGCTTTGTACTCATCATGGCTAGGCGCTGGAGCACCGAGAACCAGCTACCCGCTGGGATGTTGGCACCAAATATCCAACGTTGCACCCACGCAGCAATTCCACCTAAAACATCGCAGTAATATGCTGCTCAACACCGCAACAGTATACAAAAGCGTACCTTTGATTGGTCCTTGCCGTCCAAATCCGAACAAACGGAGAAGTTGGGGAAGAAGCCATCCACTGATTTCGATCTCAGGTAATAAGATATCAATCGCAATGAGCAAGAGTGCACGGGCGATGACGGGATGCTGTTCGACAAGGTCTCCTGTATCATTTGATATTATGTCGTCAATGTTCCAGAATGGCTAGATGATCGCGACGTACCTGTGGTTACGGCAACCTGTTGAACAGCAAGCTTGAGAGAACTAGAGTCACTTTGCAACAATTCTTCGCTGACTCCGACCTTGGTAGCGACCTGTAAAAAACTTTGCTCGATGCGGTCAAGGGCCGTGCTGATCATGATTGTACGGTTGTTATGACCAGGAGCCTCGTTAGGTGGCGGGAACATCTCCATAAGCTCTTCGAATAGGACAGTGAAGATGTCTTCAAGTTCTTCTGTTACGGAGTAGAGAGAGACGCCACTGTCTTCTGCAGCGTCACTACAGACTTTGTGCAGTACAGTGGCAGTGGCAGTGACGTTAATCATAGATTCCTTGAACTCCGCAAGCTTCTCGGATGGATACAGCTCCATGGCGTGATGAAAAAGCTCGTCACTATAATCCTTGACATATGGACCGAGCTCTATAATTTTGTCCCAGAAAGACTCTCCCGTATCTGGAAAATGCGATTCGTACCACGTGTGCGCTGAAGCAGACAAAGAATCAGATTCTTCTGTTATATTGTAAGCAGCACCTTAAGAAATGAGTAGGTGACCAAATTGACCGTGTATCGTGTCTGTGATTTTTGCGGGATTGTCAAATAGTGCTGTCGATCATTTCTGACATTAGGAGGTGATTGAAAGCTCAGTAGTTCGTACTCACGTGTCACCGCTCCCCATCCTTTCCTAAATTTAACTTGATGTTCGTCGTAAAATAAGAGTGCGACATACCGTCCTCGATGATGTTTCTGTTAGACTCGGAGGAACGTACGCTTCCCTCGATGTTTCTCGAAGTGATTGGTTGCAGCGTTGCGGCAGTTGCCAATGTCACATATGCTAAAGTAGAAAACCACATGATTGTTGACTGTCAACAATGGTTGGAGTCTTGGACCTACAAGCATTTAATTCTTTATGTAACAGGTTGAAGCTTCGAAAATGATGGCGGCCTTTAGCGACTTCACGCAGCACGTTGATGCATGTTTAATCTGAGAGCACCGTGACCCCGTAGCTTAGCATTGCCGTGCAAAATTATTTGCAAATTGTAGCGATGTTGAGATGTTGAGAATTATAATATTTATGATTGTCAAGCTCGACTACTTTTGGAACTTCGACCTGAAGATGTCAAAGCTCTCATCCACGTATTTCAGGTCATTGCGGACCTGTATGCCAGGTCGCAGCATTCAATGCCAACGACAATCTATACGTATGCGCCATAACAAAGCAACAGCACCTGGCAGACGTTATTTTACGTCGGGGGAACGGGATAGGGCTGCTGTCGGGGTATGTTTCTTCAGCTGACCTGTTATTCTCTGTTCACATTCTTGCATCTGATCCCAGGTCTTTACGCCAAAGGCTGCAGCTCTATTCGTTGCAACCGGTATTGGTTTATTTTACTACTTCCGTTATGAGAAGCAAAAGCTCCTCGAACAGCGACGTACGTGCTTCTCCGTATTCCACCCATCGAGAGCGTCTCAAGAAAAAATATTCATACAGAAAAGGAGCTTGAATCTCGAAGCGTCGGACGACCGCATGTGGGTGGTCCCTTCACGCTAACGACTCACGAAAACAAGCCTTTCTCTGATAAAGACCTCTTGGGGAAATGGAACTTCGTCTACTTCGGTTTCACCAACTGTCCCGACATATGTCCTGCTGAATTAGACAAGATTGGCTCGGTCTTGACTTCTCTAGGTTCGTGTTCATAAATCACTTCAACCGCGGTACGCATTCACCACATCAAATACAGAGAAGGATTATGGAACAATCTTCCAGCCTGTATTCATCTCTGTTGACCCTGCACGCGACTCTATCCCTCAAATGAAGACATATCTTGCAGACTTTCACCCTCGTATCATCGGTCTCACGGGTGACTATGAAACCGTGAAAACCACATGCAAAGCCTACCGCGTCTACTTCTCCACCCCGCCTAATGCAGATCCCAAGGGTGACTACCTCGTCGACCATTCAATATACGTCTACCTCATGGATCCAAATGGGCAGTTCGTTGAAGCGTTTGGGCAGAGCAGTACACCAGACGAAGTTGTTGAGCGGGTAAAAAAGGAAATTTCAGAGTTTGAGAAAGAGACGGGGAGGAAAGTGTAGCACTCCAGCACATAATAGCATCTTGCCTTCAGCATATCACACCATTCATCTATCTTGTTGCATCGTTTGACGTCTCGACATCGATTGACACGAAGCGTTCTTAAGAAAGTCTTCTAGATGATAGCTTCGGTAGCCTCTGCAGTCTACTCCGCCTGCTGGAGTTCCAGTTTTGACATTTTCTTCATCCTCCGCATCATGCTGTAGAAAAAATGAGCGTCATATGTCTAGGTACGTGGTCGAAATGCCTACTCATCGTATTGGCACCTGTTGGGTGTGTATTGGTCAGACCCTCAACAGATAGAAACATAGAGATCTAACTCACTTCTCATAGCCGTGGCGCTCATTCTCGCAAGTCCAAGGTAAATAATAGTTTTCTCTCCGACAAGTATTCAAAGGTATCAAGAGTCTGAAGTATCACGGACAACAGTATTGTGGGTCATAGGCTTTCAACCAGAAGGGTAAAGTAGGTACGTACGCTGAGCACTGATCTCTCCAAGCCAAAGGCACCTTGGCCACCTTGAGCTCCTCCTGGGATGCAGTGAGTGATGATGGCATAGAGGATTTCAAGAAGACGTCAAGGGAAGAATCTGAGGAAACGAACGGACTCGGAATGAGGTCGAAGTGGCTGTGCCAGTTGTTATGAGTATTTGCTCAGAGCGCTCAGCGCCTGAGCGCCAATATCAAACTAACAGCCGTTCGAGAAATCGGAGTGCAACTCGGAGGAAAATACAAGTAAGAATATGTAAGCTTGGTACTACTGTCCTCCCTGTTCTTTTTCCTCTTGCTTCATACTCATCTGAATCGCCCGAGCAATTGCCTCTTCCTCATCCATATCTTCGTCTTGCTCCTCACCCATGTCAACATCATTGCGTTCGGACATGGCGAGAGCTTGAGCAAGCATGGCTTCTTCATCCTTGTCTGCCCCTGCTGATTCCGCTTGAGGCGTGGCATCGGTAGCCGATTGACGTGTTTGCTCTTCCGCTGCCTGGCGAGCTTGTTCTTCTTCCATAGACATGCGAAGGGCCTAAATAAGATAAAATGTCAACAAGACTCCGTATTCGATGTCAGAAAAAGCAACGCACCAACGCAAGCTCAGGGTCCAAACTCGGGTCAACACCAAATTCAAAGTTGGCACCACCAGAACCCGATGCACCACCGACGTCTCCCATCGCTTCTGGTGGTATGCCCCGGTCTTCCGACAGAATTGAGGAAGAAATGATAACATCTGATAATAGATGTGTGCCAGGTGGTACAGACACCAGATGTCTAAATACCAGGCGCATCAATCTACGCACGCATTCTGACAAGGTGACACTCACGAGTTATCGCTATTCGTTGTATTGTCTACGAAAGCCTTGAGGACATTGGTTTCCTCCTCTACGCCGTCCCCAAATGCAATAAAGTCAACAGCAACATTGTTCTTCTTCAATCTCTTTGCGAGCTTCACCATTTCCCGCTCATCCGCTCCCTGTCCTTGTAACGGAGATCCGACAAAGACTATTATCCTTTGGCGCAGATTCTTGTTCTCTCGATGTTTGAGGGCAAGCTGGGCAATGTTAATGGCAGTAGGAATATCTATTGACCCGCCAATTTTCGATGATGTTACATGCAAGGCCTTGATTATCTGTCCAATGTCTTTCGAATGGGTCACGAGAACCTCGGGCCTGCAAGAAAACATCAGCAATCGTAGTTTGCACATGTAACTGAGTTGTACCCTTTGCTAGCCATTGTCATGACGCCAACAGTGTTCTCTGGATTTGAATCAATCTTGGTCTGGAAGATGGTCTTGACAGCATCAGACTGGGCCTCGAAAGCGGGATGGGATATAGTCTCCATTACGCATGTATTCTGAGTTGTCGATTATCATCATCGTTGCCTCGAGCGGCATCTTGGGTGAATGTAATTAAAGGAGGGAGATATAAGACTTGGTTTGGTTGCGCGACGAGCAGTGACGCGTTCTGCTAGAAAGCTATCGTCTTCATTCGGAACCCTAACCACAAGCTGTGCTATTGCACTCAGATATTTTCACAACAGTTCGACATCGTCGTCAACGTTGACACGATTACTTTCATTCTTATACCGCACTAGCTATAGGTGGAGACCAATCGTCGGTGTCACTAAGCACTTCGCTTAAGCAATGACTTACAAAGACTCGTGTTCAGCCTCGAACATCCTCCACAATAACTCAACAGGCCAGGTAAGGACATGGTAAGTACCAGTAACGAAGCGAAACTAATCAAGTGCCTTGGTGCATACCGAAGAGTCAATATGTCTAGACAACGCGCGATGACAATACCATGAGAGAGTATCATGACCAGTTCCTATCAGTCAGATATATAGGGTTCCTTGGCATCAGAGGTGAGTTTCTACACAGTTGTTCTGTGGTTATTTTTACTCAGTCACCAGGTGGATATCGTCCCCTATTCATTCGACTCGTGGGTTTTGATTCCATATTTGTGCATCTTACTAAGTAAACCTCTCGTATACAATTCATGGTACCTTGTCTTGGGCAAACTTGGCCGTCTTTCAAAGTGGTTATCGGTTGCCGTTTTCCCTTGGTCTCCAACATAGCCAAAAGTTTGAAATACTTATGGTTGATTATTCTGATTTCTGATACCATGGCAGTGTCACGGTATATCGCAGTCATCGGCACGTGCCGACTGTGGTGCTCGATATACTATACATAGGAGTCTCTAGGACTACAACATGAATCATTCATCTCTTCATTCTTAACTTCCACCATCCATCCTATGACTTTCTTTGACGAAGTTCGTAGGGGACTAGTAGTCCAGTTTATCATCGTAACCTACAGTCAGCTAACTAATCATCATGACTCCCAGGATTCGTATCGCCTTCCGGAGGGCATAAAGCGGATTGGATATGATGCTGATACCCAGCAGTACATTTTCCGTGACCGCTCCGGTCAACTTTACCAGAATCCTTCAGGAGAGACGTATGGTGTTCTGAGACCTGTGTCAGCACCTGCCACCCCTCGTCGCAGTGTGACCATAACAGGCGAGTTCGTGACCCCCAGCATGACGCCCAATTGCTTACGTTACTCCCTATGCAGAACGCAAAGACCCTGCCCTCATCCGTGCCCGCTCTGTCAAGCGCCCCGCAAAGACTTTCGACGACTTCCTTCCCCGAGAATACATCACTAACGCAAAGCAGTCCAGTTCTGCCCCCGACTCTCCCAACGAAGCTATCACGCGGGCGAACAGGAATCGTGCGCTACCAAAGATCCCAAAAATTGGGGAGGTCATACGTTCCCGGGCCATTTCACCTCGCGAGTCGGTAGATGAAGAAAAACGCTACTTACTCGACGATTGCTCTGCCAGTCCCACCTCATATGCGACTCATGATGACGAGAAGGAGTTGAATCGCTCAAATTCTCAAGCGTCTTCTATGTTGTCATTGCCTATTATCGATACGCATATTAATTTATCTGGTTTCATATGACTGTCGAAATCATTGTATCACATTTGTAGCACCTCTGGACAGGATGTGTTATACGAATCAAAGCTCATTTGACCTGGCGCTGATGGATATGTCCCGCTCAGCATGTAGCACAGAGATTAGCCCCAGCTGCTATGTAACAATAAAGTGATTGAGAGTTGTTCCGAGTCGACGTTGGAGCTCTGGAGGCTTGTGCCGTGACATCAGACAACCCCAAAACAAAATAGAATCAAACAAGATACAACAAATGAACGACGAATAAACAAGCTGGACCAAGACTTTACACCAAATTGAATGAAACCCGTTCTTTCTCCTTGTTCCTTGACGACAAAATCGAGAGTGGCCTGAGTGGCCCTTGTACAGGTGCAAGCTTTGGGTCAGCTTCAATCTCTGTCACACGACCACGCGAGAGCACTCGCGATCCCCTTCTCCCTAGCAGCTCTTGCAATACGCTTGGGAAATGTAGCGCAAACGTCCCTGTGCGATTGGGTGGTAGTTAGGTCCACTGGACGCGTTCTCTTTGATCACAGCCACAGGCGGTGGTGAAACGAGGGGTTTCCCATCAGGGGAGCTCGAAAAGGAATGCTGGAAGAGAAAATAGCTGAGTAAATGCATGCACGATAATGCTGCCACGCACATATGCCTCTAACTCTGCATTTTCTCCAATAGCCTCGCTCTTCCATATGCCCTGAGTCCATGTGAAGCGAGGCGGTCCTTCATGATTATCATCATCTCGTGAGTTCGTTACAAAGTGGCTGACAGACTATCGAACGTACTTCTCGGCTTCTTCTCAAAGAACTCATTTGGGAAGTTCTGCATCTTCTCCGCGTTCTGCCTAGCGTTCCAAGATTTCAGGATCCGATGGTAGACGAGGTAACCGATGATGTATGCGATGCACAAAGCAAGCAAAATGAGCGCTGCGAATGGGAAAGCACGCTTGTGTGACTGATCCGCGGAGGATGTGGCAGCTGCTGTAGGAGAAACGGTGCTGCTTGAAGGGGCCATGGTAGTGGTGAAGATCGGATTGGCACGTCGGCAGTCAAAGGTGCCCCACTTGAACACTGATGGTGGAGTGTAAGAGAGAGGGTGGGTATGTGGTTGACACGTTAATAAGTATGGCTTTGGACTGGAGGCTGACACGGATTAGAGCTAAATTGGTCACAGAATGGCGTAGCATACGCGAAGCCCTTACCAGACCTGTACACGAGATTTACGTCGGCGTACAGTTTTGTAGGACGTGATCAAATGTCTAGTAAGCCATATGTGTTAGGTTGTTTAACCTCGTGCTCAAAAAGATAAGCTCGACAAGTACTGGGTTCCTGCATGCTCGATCGTTTCGACGTCAATGGAACGCAAGGTGGCGAACTTCAAGCTTCAAGTGTCGATGAAATATAAATTTGACAAGCGCTGCATCAAGTATGTAGTCAAGACACACCTATAGTAAGGCTAATCATCATATCCTGTACGGGGTCAACTAGATACTGGAGACTAGCATCAGCCGGTACCGTATCGTAATTGTTAATGAGGCAGAGGGTTGACCATAGCAGTACTTGAGATATCTAAGTAGGGTAAGAAATTCACTTGCATCCTGTTGTCCTGCAAACCTTGATAACTGAAAATGAGTGAGGCATCTACTACTATGTTGATGAGTGAAGCGCTGGTGGTGAGTCAAGGTCAGTGGAAATATTAGAAGCTGCCTCGTACGAATTGAGATCCCCTTAACTGTAAGGGTGAGAGCATTAAAGGTCAGGCATGACTGATCCCGTGGCCTGGAAAGAAATTCAGGCATGAAAATTCAGATTCTTCACGGATGACCTGCCTGGCACTTGGTTTATATTTGCGCAGGTTTCTGACTTTCAGCCATTACCATGGCAAAACCGCTGGATATGAAGGATTAGAAAACTCTTTCGCGAGAACTTTCACATATGCTTCGAGATGCCAGTTCATGTGATTGTTCGTTCAGAGCCAGTACCATCATTGACGGCTCGATAGCAAAGATGTCATACCAATGCACGAACCAAAGGCCAGAATTGTTGTAGACCGCCAGCGCTTACGACGTCGAGGAGAACTGGGTTCACGTAATGATTATTGAGGGTACCTTTGCCTCCACTCTGTATGACACGGACGGAATACTATTCTCATAAGTACCAGCCAGACTATGCCATAGAAGTCGGGAGAACTTACCCCATGAAGATGTATGGGAAGCTGGTACAATGTATATCAGATAAGTAAGCGTCACTCGCATATGCCTGGACCAGCATCATAATTACACAGAAAAACATCGCACATATGACATTAGATAAAGTACATACATTGTAAGTATTGTCCAGCATAGGGCCTAGCCCCACCGGACAATAAACAAGGATTCAAAAAAAAAGTAAGCGCCCGAGTCGAATGACTCAATAATATCATAGTACCCAGTGTATCCCAGAAGCTCATCTGGAACACAACCTGCAAGAACAGTAATTACAGGCGAGTACCATAACCAGTACTGCGAACATCTTGAAGTCCGACCGTCGACGAGAGCAAGGTGCACTATGTGTGGTTCGGTACTACTAATCCTGAAAGCAGAATTTGCAAGGCATGGAGTGCGGCAGCAGAGGATAAGTTTCGATCGCAGGATACAGTTCAGCCACGAGATACAGTCGGCCATGGGATCAAGGGCTGGCCAAATCCAATCGGGTTTCTTCTCGTATGCCCAGCCTTCCTCAACCAGAGAGAGGTGATGCGTAGAGGTCGGCCTAAGACAGTGCAACATCAAGACCTGTTTAGTTCTAGCATGTGGCGAGGACAAGGAGACTGAGGCACGGAGACGTCACTCCCAAAAAAGAGACGGAGGAGTAGAGGAAGCGCAACAAAACATGCCATCATATTGAGAGCCTGAAGAAGGCCTTATCGTCCTCGTGCAACCCGGGATCATTGTACAGCATAGACACCGTGATATGGACAACGGAAATAGACTAGACACGGCACTATAGCATAGGTAGTGTCCAACATAGGGCTTGACCCTAGCGGACGGTAAACAAGGATCAAATAATCAGATCGATTTGAACCATCAAGTCGAGCTTCCTACGGGATCGCTCCCAGCTATACTGTCAAAGCCGTCTTCCCTAGACAGACGAACTTAGAAATCCAAGGGAAATATGGAGCAGGAGGGGACTTTCTGGACCGGGAGTCATCGAGAAAGGTAGTGAACAGGCGATTGTGGCGGTTGTGCAGGTACAGGTACAGGTACAGGTACAGTGCATCGCCGGGTAATAAAGAAGGCCCGACAGAGTCAGATAACAAGTAATAAGCTACGCCTTATAATGACTAGACAATGTACTTGGTGAGTGGTGATCGAATATTGAGGTTACATAACTCACTCTGCCGACATGTAGTACCTCATTTACTTCGAGATCCGGAGTCGAACTGTTTCAGAGTGGGAAGAATTGCATTATTAAAGTTAGAAATGGTGCAGGGCTGCAGCGTTCTAGTAAGGCTGTCAGCGTTGGGTGACAACGGAGAATCGAACTACTCAGCTCCACTGACATTTGCCATGGAGGAGAACCTTAAGGGAAAAGATATTATGCTGAGCGCAGAAGAGTGGCCACATCTAACATGAATCTCAATGAATCTTTGATGAAGAGCGGTGATGCAGACCCGTGCATTGTGCACTAATCCATTTTCGACGGACACGTTCCGAACGCCACAGGTTCCGTGGAGTACTCAGCCGTGTGTAAGACGCGACATTGCAGGCAGCGTGATATGTCGTGCTGTATACGGCAAAGGATAAACGATTTTGAATTGGCTGAGGCAGAAGAAATAGGACAAGGATCAGTATGCATCTGTCGTGATTATCGGTAACCGGAAAGCGTTTTCCACGCTTCAAATAACAGACGGCATGGCATTTATTTTCTACAGAAACCTTCTCCACTCCATTCTCCATCCATCTCCCAATATAGTAGGTATTAGGGAATATAAATATAGACACATTGGAAGGGAGAATATTAATGCAGCCGACAGAACACAATGACAAGGAAGGGACACCCAAGCCAGAGATCAGAATCCCACATGTCCGTCATGTGCATGAAGATTTGAAAGTGTACAATAAAATTCACATTTATCCTTGTTAGATCGGTCGCAGTAAACAATAAGAAAGTCAAGCAAGGTTCATGGCGCCAACACCGGCACCTAGTGATTGAAAGGGTGATATAACTATGCAGAGTGAATTTCAGTGATGCCAGCTACCGTGGGATCCGGGTGATGGTCATAGATTGGACATAAGCGATCCCATTCATCTGTAAAGCAATTCAGCAATAGAAGTACGGATTCTTAACATATGGCCTACATGGCACGGGGTCCACATGCGCGGGAGTATCTGGGGGACTTTCTGCCATTACCACGGCAAACCCGCTGAAAATGAAGGATGAGCCATTTCGTTCACGGGAAGATTTACACACGTACGCTGCAAGGTGCCAGTCGATGTGACTGTTGGTTCAGTGTTAATATCCTTCTGGACAACTTCGTAAAAATGATGACATACCAATGCAAGAACCACGGGCCAGAATTGTCGGTGACAAATCGGATCACCGTTTGTTGCCCAATGACCCCAGCGCTGACCACATCGCGGCGAACGGGGTTCACATAATTGAAGGTACTGCTGTCTGCGCTCTGTACGACACTGAATGTATGCTAATGACCATGAGTACCAACCTAGGCATGCCTTTGAAGTTATGGAGAACTTACCCCATGAAGGTGTATAGGATGCTAGTACAGTATACGTCAGTCACGTAGATATCGAATGATTGGAAAAGACGTACAGGTCCACCTGGAGCGGTAACAATTGACACCGTCAACTCAACCACTTTGTTGGCCCCGAGAACGTACACACTTCCGGTTGGGAGCAGCTGAGTAGCGTTTTGAGCTCCATTGAGAATTTGGAGTAGAACAGGAACAGTGGGGTTTACGAATGAGACATTATTGACATAGAAACCTGCGGCACCGATGGTAACCGGGAGGTTGATGTTGATATCGGCTTTACCATATTCTGGAACGCCAGGAGCACCGGGATGGAGAAGAGCATGTAAGTTGCTCTCTTGCAATTGGTTCGTGGCAGAAACATTGGGTGTAGTCGGGTCAGCCTCTGGGGCACCTTTGTAGCGAAGGATAGCAGTGTTCAATCCTCCGCTGTAGTTCGCATTCGCCGTATTAGGAAGAGCGCGTACCCAGTAGTTATCCACTGGCTGATCGGCTACTAGAATAACAGAGTAGCGCTGGGCGACAAAAATCTGGAGCTGATCTACCACCAGAGGTTCTGTCAGCTGTCCATCCGCTTCGATGACAGTTAAGTTGTGGCCATCGATGGAGAATTGGACGTTGGAGTCGCATGATATTTGAACTAGGCGCAAGCGATATCGCTTTCCCCGCGTGACATTGATCACAGCAAGCTCAGACTGAGGTCCGCCAGCATAGCGACCGAGTCCATTGATGAGCATAGAATTGGCAACAGGTACAGTGCCGAGCAATTCGGGGGCTACAGTATGATACCTAGTGATCCTGATTCAATCGGGCAGATTATTCATGATCGTAAAACTCACCAGTCGGCAAGCGTGATCACAGTACTTGCTTGAAATACATGATGGTCAGAAGGTTCATATGAACGAATTTCTCGCTCACCATCGTCGACGTCGTACAAGTATGCCAAAGGGTCGTGAGGATCATAGATTACCAGGGCTCCCCTGAGACCATCGCACTGTTCCATAAGTCAATCTTCTACTGCATATGCAAGGTTCGAGCGATACTTGCGTATTGAACGGAATAATGACTATGATACCAATAAGTGCCCGCCTGGTTTGGAGCAGAGAAAGAATGTAAAAATGAGTGGTTCGGCGTAATGGGGCATTGTGTGACGAAGGCCACTCCATCGGCATAGTTCGTCCGATTCTGGAAGATGCCATGCCAGTGCTGCCATAAACAAGGTTTATTTTAACAACATTTATGATGAATTGAAACTGCTTACAACACTGGTAAGCACGAACATCGAGTCGTCCTTAAGCTTGTTGACTACCTCAATATCAAAGTGATCTCCCTATTGTGAGGTCAGCACTGGCACCCGACAAGGAAGTTAAAAAAGATTACCTTCTGGGCTGCAATCAAAGGTCCAGGAAATATGCCATCGACAAGCGTTGTTCTGTCAAAGATCAGGAATGAGTTTGAGCGCTATGATAATAGACTCACGGGCGTGCGAAGCCATCGGGAGCGATGATGCTATTGCCTATGGTTAATCTAGTTTTGGGACCATGTACAGGGAGCTGAGATAGCGGGTACTCTGAGCGAGATACTATAGCTGTAGCATTAATCGATGAGATGAGAGAAACGATTAGGAGGAGAATAAACATCATGATTTTTCACGATGAATAGTGGGGCTTTCTTTGGCAAGAGTAGGGGAAAACAGGATAATATTATAACGCTCTTGCAGCTTTTATCTTGCGGTAGATAGCCTTGAAGTGTTCCCATTTCAAAGCAATTGGCACTTTACAACTTTATCAGCATGTGATTGCACTGCAAAAAGGGTGCTCAGCGCCCCGGTTTCAACGGTGTACTGCTACAGGAGTCAGCGTTGTAGCAACGATCTGTCGATCTGTTCAAGAATGATGAGATACCACGAAACCGTGAATCGGACACAATCCAAAATGGCTTAAACGGCGAAACGGCCAACCGACCCCAGGTGTAGTGCTAGGCCACAATAGTAGTAATTAACTCTTTGTGTGCAGGAAAAGAAAAAAGGTAATCACCAATGGTGCCCCACCGTCAAGTACGGAGGTTATGTGACATTTAGTTATCAAACAGAAATGGTCACACGCTATTAGGTACTATGTGATGGTAGCGTGTCAGGACTTTGGAAGGTGCCGAGTGTGTCTAGCCACTTCGGTGTCTCTGCACAGAATTTTGAAAGGAGATAGCCGGTAGTCTAGTACATAGTTGAGGCGCGATGGGGAGACCAAAGATTGTGCCATTATTGGATAGTGCAGTAATCATCGAGGACTCGTAATCGACGGAGGATCGGTTATTAGCTGGGAGGCTATGATGGTGACTGTGATTGCGGTACCAAAATTAACCAAATATACGAGGCCGCATATAGTCAAGTTGATGTTGATTTGGGGTTTGGCTTATGAGGGTCTGAGGTCATACCAAAGCACATCACTAGTGACAGTCACTACAGCGTCGGCCTGGCTTCTATATGGTTGGTTGGTTGGTTGGTACTAGCTCGTCCGAGTCGGAATGGTGGAATGGTTGGAATGGTTGGAATGGTTGGAATGGTTGGTACTAGAAGTTAGAAGTAATGAGCTAAGGTTAGGGTCAGAACTTGTGATTGGTTACATAATGTAAATTACACGATTGTAGTTACACCTACAGGTGACTCAACAGCAGTGCTACTACGTACGGGCCATGATGTCAGTAAACCGGTGACTTCTTACTGGGGATTATGCTGATTATGGTGCTTTTACATAGTTCATATTGCTTTATATATCACTTATATTCCAATGTGACGAAAACCTCTCCTATATATTACGATATCTTCGGGTTCTCCCGCCCGCCGCCGCCCGCCCGCTCACATGGTTTGAGAAAGTAATATGCTGTAAGGATTACCAACATCTACCGCAGTCATGACCTCAGCTCACTGGCGTCATCAATCAGCACTTCAGCACGATTTCGGTCCCGGCTGATCCTTCGTCGCCACTGATTCATTCAACCCTTAGTACCCTCCTCTCGTCTCTGTCACCCCATTCACAGCCCACCAGCCTGGAATTTGTCAATAAACCATCTATATGACTCTCGTACACCCACTGATTCCTTTCTTACCCTCTTTCTCATCATTACTATTCTACCCTGTCAGGTGTAGCGCCACTCCCTTCTGCTTCCACCTTCACATAATCGTTCGGCCTCAACGTTTATAGTCTCGGACTCGGCACAATCTTTATCATATCGCATTCATCCACGATTCTCCAACTCTACTATCAACACATTCTACAAGCGGTCTACGCACCCCTTTCGCACTCACTGCGCTACACACTTCTTGCAATGCCCATCGGCAAACTAAATGGAACCAAGCACTAGGGAGTATAAGGTGTGTGCACGTTGTCTCAACTCACTCTCACTTTTCTCTGCACTCGTCGTCGCTTGCCTGCACTAGTGCTAATCTCTAGTCATTTTGCTTTGTCTACATGCATTATTGCTTGTCCGAACTCATTTATGCCCACCTCTCGACTATCTTTCGGTTGTCTCGCTTGCTTCACTTTTTTCTCCACTACTCGACTGACTCTTGCCAGCACTGAACGCTGAGCACCAGCGCCTTCCCATTTCCATACTTGTCTCTGATCTGAACGCTAACAATGTGTCACGGGCCACATGATTAACACTGGTAGAAGGCAGAAAATTCTTCGGCCACCGTCTCCACATCTCTCCAGCGAGGCATCTTAAGACTTGGTTTCGCTGTTTCTTGCTAGTCCATGTCAGCATCAGTGTTCGCGATATTGAGCAGTGTCGCGTTCAACTTCAACAGTCTCACTCAGCCACAGCTCTCTCGCATAGAAAATTTCGAACACAGTATGCCGAGTACGAAATAGAATAGCAAACAAAATGTCCAGTCAATAACGTGCCTGATTTATTTGTTGTCTAACATCTCATGCACGAAATAAAATGGTCAAATAACATCGTTATTGAGTAGAATGAAAGTGCTCCTTCCACTAACGTGACAGTTGGGGGTTGTTCAATCAAGATCTGAATCTCCCTCAGATCTCGTCAGGGTGGGTCCTCTTGTATTCCTCATAGATTGGACATAAGCGTCCCCATTCCTCTGTAAAGCAGTTCAGCAATAGAAGAACGGATTCTGACGTATGACCTACTTGGCACGGGGCTCACATGTGCGCGAGTATCCTTGGGGCTTTCCGCCATCACCACGGCAAAACCTCTGCATATGAAGGATTAGCTATTTCGTTCACGCGAATATTCACACACGTACTCATCAATGTGGAAGTCAATGTGACTGTTGTTCAGAGTCAGCACCGTTCTTGACAACTTGATAGAATTGATGTCATACCAATGCAATGACCAGGGGCCAGAATTGTCAGTGACCCATCGGATCACCACTTGTTTCTCATTGTCCTTGCACTCAGCGCCGGCCCCATTCTCGCACCCAACGCCGACCACATCGCGGCGAACGGGGTTCACATAATTGAAGGTACTGTTGCCTGCGCTCTGTACGACATCAAATGGATGCTAACAATCACGAATATCAGCCAAATATGCCTCCGAAGTTACAGAAACTTACCCCATGAAGGTGCATGGGATGCTGGTATAATATAGATCTATATTAGTCACGTAAATATCGAATGAATGGAAAAGACGTACAGGTCCACCTGGAGCGTCTATCATTATCATCGTCAACTCTACCACTTTATTGGCCTCGAGGACATGCACACTCCCCTTTGGGTGCAGCTGAGAAGGGTCTGTTCCTTCAAGAATTTGGGACAGAACAGGATTTTCAGGGGCTTTGAATTCGGTTTCATTGACATAGAAATGGAATTTGTTTGTTATATTTTTGAAGGAAACCTCGAGGGCAATATTGTAATCTGGGTTCCCATACCCTGAACTGTTCAGAGCACGCAAATCGGTCTCTTTCAATGGCTTCGTGGATGGAGTATCGAGCGTGGTCGGTTCGGCCTTTGGGGCACCGTGGTAGCGTAGGATAGCAGAGCCGTTGTAGGTTTGATTGATGTTAGGAATACCGCGTATCCAGTAGTTATCCACTGACTGATTGGCTTCTAGAACCACGGAGTAACGCTGACCCGCAAGAATCTGGAGTTGATCTACCACCAGAGGTTCCGTCAGCTCTCCATCTGCTTCGATGATAGTTAAGTTGTGGCCATCGATGGAGAATTTAATGTTAGCTTCGCATGACATTTGAATCAGGCGGAAGCGATATCGCTTTCCCCGCGTGACATTGATCACAGCAAGATCAGACTGGGGTCCGCCAGCATAACGACCGAGTCCATTGATGAGCGTAGAATTGGCGGCAGGTATAGTGTGGAGCAATTTGTGGGCCACAGGATGATACCTAGTGATCTTGATTCAATCGGGCAGATTACTCATGATCGTAAAACTCACCAGTCGGTAAGCGTGATCACGGTACTTGCTGAAAATAGATGATGGTCAGAAGGTTCATATGAACGAATTTCTCGCTCACCATCGTCGACATCGTACATGTGCGCCGAAGGGTCTTCAGGGTCATAGATTATCAGGGGTCCCCTGAGACCATCGCACTGTTCCATAGGTTAGTCCTCTACTGTACATGCCAGCCGCGAGTGATACTTGCATATTGAACAGAATGATGACTGTGGTACCAAAAAGTGCCCGCCTGGTTCTGGGCGGAGAAAGAATAAGTAAATGAGTGGTTTGGCGTAATGGGGCATTGTGTGATGCCGGACGCCCCATCGTAATAGTTCGTTTTATACTGGTCGATGCCATGCCAGTGCTGCCGCAGATAATGTTAGTTTTGACGACATCGATGATTTGACACTGCTTACGACACCGGTGAGCAGGAGCATCGATTTCTCGCTGAGTTGGTTGACCACCTCAATATTAAACATATCACCCTATTGTGAGGTCAGCACTGGCGTCCGACAAGGATATCAACAAATTTTTACCTTCTGGCCTGTGATCAAATGTCCAGGAGATTCGCCATTGACGACAATTGCTCTGTCAAAATCAGGAATGAGTCTTGAGTGCCGCGATAATAGACTCACGAGCGGTGGAAGCCATCGGGACTGATGACTTTATTGCTTATGGTCAGTTGAGTTGTGGGACCATGTGCAGCGGGCTGAGATAGTGGGTAGGACTGTGAGCGAGATACTATGGATGTAGCATTAATCGATGAGATGAGAGAAACGACTAGAAACAGAATAAACATCGTAATAGGTAGCGATGCTATCGCTCGCAAGAGTAGTGGTAAGAAAATATTGTAATGTCCTCGCAGCTTTTATCTTGCAGCAGCAGATAGCCTTCGTTCTCATTCGAAGTAATTGGTACCTCTCGATTGTATCGGTGTGTGATGACGCCGAAGACGGTTCCTCAGTACCCCTGTTATCCACATGTCGACGGTGTACTTCTCCTGGACTTATCAATGATTTGTCGATGGGCTTTCAAAGCTTCAAGGACGTACCACGACACCATGACTAAGACACGATCCAAAATAACTCAGACGGCGAAACCGCCAATTGACCCCATAGTGCTAGGGTACCACAACAGCTTGAATCGACTCTCATGCGCAGGAAAAAAAAGAATGTCAATCACTAGTGGTGCCTCTCCGTAAAGTACAGCGGCCATGCGAGAGTATCAGACCAGCATTTGTCGGACAGAAACATTCGCACGCTGTGAGGTACAAGGTGCTCATGCATGTCGGGACTTCGGTGGTGCCGACTATGCACTAGGAGCTGAGATGTTTCGGCACGGAACTTTGACAAGAGATAGCCGGCAGTCTTGATGATAGTTGAGGTGCGATGACGATGACCAAGGGTTGTGCAGTTATTGAATCGTGCGAGTGGGGCTGAAATGACCTTCGAGGACTCATCACCAATGGAGGGTCAGTTATTTGCTGGCAGGCTATGACAGTGACCGTGATTGCGGTACCAAATCCACGATCGCAGGCAAATAGTAGCTGGGTTGATGTCGATTTTGGAAGCCGGGGCGCCGCTGCAGTGGCTAGTAATGTGCTTGGCATTGCCTCAGGCCCTCATAAACTAGGCCCATGATAATGGTTTGGACCTGGCTTCACAGGGCTCGGCTAAGTGGTCCATAAGCAAGGGAGCCATTAAGAATCTACTGCGAGTTGACTGGAGGCACGGGAATATGAGGATAAAGGAAAGGATAAAGCAGTGGCGTCGGAAAGTCAAAGGATTCAAACCAAGGTGTCCATGATCCGACATATTTCAAAAGGTCAGAGCCGTCACGGCGCGACGCAGCAGCCCAGATCGTGTCCAAACTGAAGCACAGCTATCCAAAAACATCAAGCTCGATTCACCGTGGTGATTAAATTTGTCTGCAAACTATCTGTGGAGGAAAGAGACGGTGTCTAAATTTTAAAAGGATGTGTCGAGGGTATCCTCATGAGAAGGTGCCTTTAAGTTGAGCTGCGACAAGTAGGGATAGAAGCACTGAGGGTCAGTCAACGTTGCATGTCGTTGGTTGTTTTAAGCCATTGATGCTATGAAGTACAGTGGTGACTGGTCAAGTCGTGGTACTAGCTCGTGAGAATGAGAAAGAATAGGCTAAGGTTAGGGTCAAAACTTTGTCACGCCCTGATTGGTCAAGGAAGTTGGAACTTCAATCCTGATGCCGTCTGGCCCAACCATCGAGGCTCCCCTCCTGTCGTAAACATCTCGCAATCTGTAGAATTGGCATGGGTGCCATTGTAATCTACGTGTCTCTTCGGCACCGCTCATCAGTCAGGATCAAGCAAAGGTCATCGAAGGTAAACATAGACGAGCCAAGACCGTTCAACAGACTGTGGTCTCGTGCTTGTTCTCAAAGTTGCATGATCTTTGGCGTTTGAAAACCAAGTCAACCACCAAGCACAAGCAGGGCCAGATAACCACTGTCGGCGCGTTCCATGCGACATGTACCTTCGTTGCTGCTGCACCATCAAAAATTCTCACACCTCCTGTCACAATGCAGTTCAGAGTGCCGGACACAGAAGTTTGTTGTATTATGATAATGTTCGGTCTGCTGTCCCTAGGTGAGTGTGATCTATTCTTCCGACACAACCACAACTCACATGACTTAGGTGCAGAATCCTTTCGCCGACATTCCACATCTAGCCCAAGAGCAGCTTAATCAACCATCAAGCTAAAGTTCCAGAGCGTCAGCCGTATGACATCGATATCCCGCCTTCCGATCAGGATCAATCACCCACCATCGAGCTACCCAACCTCTCTGTTGAAGATCGGCCTCGACCACTTTCTGCTGCACCAGAAGGACCGAAGAGGACGCTTGCCCGAGAGGACCTCCCGGTTTTATTTGTAAAGACGCCCCTAAGATAACTTGTTAGCGACCAATTGTGCAAGCCTTGCGATTTCATTCGTTTGCATGATCCAAACCTATCGGCACCAACGTCGTTTACTGTCGACAAGCGCTCTGTTCACCCTTGGATATCTTCTACCGTGAGTTACAATAAGAGACGTCTGTACACTACGTTTACTGTTGTTTTTTTCCTCTTCTTCTCTTTCCGAATGTCTCGATGACGTTATACTATTGAAAGTGGGGTATGTAGCTGTCCGTGTGCGAACAAATCTGTGCGTCTAGGCTCTCTCCAGTGTCAGCCCTTGACATCAGTTGAATGTCGTCGCAGGGGAAACTGTTTTCAATTTCAATACGGCCCAGCTTGAACCCGCTGACCCGATTGAAAGAGAATGTAACACGGTAGGCAATGTATCTCTCCGGTATGAAGAACTGAGATCTGAACGTTAACCTCCACGAATCTACGATGAAGACGGACACGTGGACGCCGAATGATGGTACGGTATAGTTAGGAGAGAAATGAATGGTCGCTGATTGGAACAAGTAGAACACAATTGCAAAAGGAGGAGTAGAGGTGGAGATAAGCAAAGAACACATGCAACCGTTGTCAAGTGCTCGTCACACTGGTGCTAGACCCTTCCGCCTATGTGAAAGTTTGTCGGATGCGTATGATGAGTAGATCGAGGATGCGATCACATGATTTAGCCAACATGTCCCTGATTTGCAATTGGTCTTAAACGGGTGTGAACAGTAGTCTACCGGTACCGAGAAGACGCCATGATAAAAGAGATACAAACAGCATATGCATTGGAAATTCGGCCCGGGTAATATCTTTTTATTTGCAATATGGGGAGGTCCATGGCGGCCCATGTCATGTGGAACTCGGAAGAAGTTGTGTTTCAAAGCACGATTTAGCATGGAGAACGCTTGCGATCTTCACTGGTAGCCCGATTAAGTAATCAATCCTGCAATTTACAATTACGGCAAGTCGGACCCTAACCTTAGCCTATCATTTCTTCCACCAGCTACCGTTTCGACGAGCTAGTACCTAGTACTCACCAACCAACCATTCATATGGAAGCTATGCCGACGCTGTAGTGACTATAACGCACTAGTGATGTTATTTGGCATGGCATCAGGCCGTAATAAGCCAGGCCGAAATTTTACTTCAACTTCACTATCTGCGGCCTGTAGTATGCGGTCGTGCATTTGGTGAATGTCAGTGCCGCAATTACAGTCACTGCCATAACCTGCTAGCAACTAACCGACATTCCATTTATCACGAGTCCTCTATAGACACTTCAGCTCGACTTGCACGATCCGATAATGGCACAAGCTTTGGTCATCCTCATCGTACCTCGACTATCCGGCCATCTCCTTTCGAAATTCTCTGCAGAGATGCCACAACATAGTATCTTATAGTGTGTGACAATTCTGTCCTACAACCGATGACCTAAAGCTCTCGCAAAGTCGCCGTACTTGACGGAGAGGCGCCTTTAGTATTTGATTTTTTTTCTTCCTGCACACGGAGACTTGATGCAAGCTATTTTTGCCTAGCACTACACCTGGAACCGGTTGGCCTTTGTGCCGTCTAATTTGTTCTGGGTCATGTCCAAATCACGGTTTCGTGGTACATCATCCTTCTTGAACGGATCGGGAACACTTCTAGGCTATCTACCGCTGCAAGATAAAAGCTGCGAAAGCATTAGAATCTTATCCTACTCTCGCCAGTGACAGTATCACTGTCTATCCTGAAATCGCGATGTTAATTCTTTTTCTACTCGTCTCTCTTGTCTCATCGATTAATGCTACAGCTATGGTATCTCGCTCAGAGTACCCACTATCTCAGATCCCTGCACATGGTCCCACAACTAGAATAACCATAGGCAATAAAGACCTCGCTCCCGATGGCTTCAACCGCTCGTGAGTCTATTATCACGGCACTCAAAACTTATTCCTGATCTGTGACAGAACAACTCTTGTCGATGGCACATTTCCTGGAACCTTGATTACAGCCCAGAAGGTGAACTTTTTCGACCTCCTTGTCGGGTGCCAGTACTGACCTCACAATAGGGAGATCAGTTTAATATCGAGGTGGTCAACCGACTCAACGACGACTCGATGTTCGTGCTTACCAGCGTTGTAAGCAATTTTGAATTATCATGGATGTTGTTAGAATAAATAAACCTTGTTTATGGCAGCACTGGCATGGCATCTTCCAGAATCGGACGAACTATGCCGATGGAGTGGCCTTCGTCACACAATGCCCCATTACGCCGAACCACTCTTTTCTACATTCTTTCTCCGCCCAGAACCAGGCGGGCACTTATTGGTATCATAGCCATTATTCCGTCCAATATGCAAGCATAATTCGAACCTTGCATGTGCAGTAGAGGACTGACCTATGGAACAGTGCGATGGTCTAAGGGGACCACTGGTAATCTATGACCCTGAAGACCCTTTGGCATACATGTACGATGTCGACGATGGTGAGCGAGAAATTTGTTCATATTACCCTCTGACCATCATGTGTTTCCAGCAAGTACCGTGATCACGCTTGCCGACTGGTGAGTTTTACGAACATGGATAATCTACTCGATTAAATTAGGATCGCTAGGTATCATACTGTATCCCCTGATTTGATCGGCACTGTACCTGTTGCTCCGTCTATGCTCATCAATGGACTCGGTCGCTATGCTGGCGGACCCCAGTCTGATCTTGCTGTGGTCAATGTCACGCGGGGAAAGCGATATCGCTTCCGCCTAGTTCAAATGTCATGCGACTCCAACGTCCAATTCTCTATCGATGGTCACAACTTAACTGTCATCGAAGCGGATGGACAGCTGACAGAACCTCTGGTGGTAGATCAGCTTCAGATTTTTGCGGCCCAGCGCTACTCTGTAGTTCTAGAAGCCAATCAGCCGGTGGACAACTACTGGATACGCGCTCTTCCTAGTACGGCGAATGCAACTTACGACGGAGGATTGAGCACTGCTATCCTACGCTACGTAGGCGCCTCAGAGGTTGACCCAACCACGGTCAATACGACAGCCGAGAATCCATTGGTAGAGACCAACTTGCATACTCTGAATAGTTCCGGTGCTGCTGGTACTCCAGGGTACGGGAACGCCGATATCAACCTCAACTTCAATGCCTCCTTCAATGGCTCACTTTTCGCTATCAATAATGTCACATTCGTAAACCCCACCGTTCCTGTTTTACTCCAAATTCTTAGTGGAGCTCATGACGCTTCTGAGCTGCTCCCAAACGGGAGTGTGTACATTCTCGAGGCCAACAAAGTGGTAGAGTTGACGGTGTCAATAGTCAGCGCTCCAGGTGGACCTGTACGTCTTTTCCATTCATTTGATATTTACGTGACTGACATATATTATACCAGCATCCCATGCACCTTCATGGGGTAAGTTTCTGTAACTTCGGAGGCATGCTTGGTTGATACTCATGATCATTAGCATGCATTCGATGTCGTACAGAGCGCAGACAGCAATACCTTCAATTATGTGAACCCCGTCCGCCGCGACGTGGTCAGCGCTGGGATCATTGGGCAACAAACGGTGATCCGATGGACCACCGACAATTCTGGCCCGTGGATTTTGCATTGGTATGTCATCATTTTTTGTCAAGCTTTCGAGGATACTGACTCCGAACAACAGTCACATTGACTGGCACCTTGCAGGGTATGCGTGCAAATTTTCCTGTCAACGAAATGGCTAATCCTTCATATCCAGCGGTTTTGCCGTGGTAATGGCGGAAAGTCCCGCAGATACTTCCGCGCATGTGGATCCCGTGCCATGTAGGCCACATGTCAAGAACCCATACTTCTATTGCTGAACTGTCTTACAGCTGGATGGGATCGTTTGTGTCCACTCTATAACCAAGACCCGGATCCGACAGTAGCTCGCATCACCGACACTTCCTATGCATAGTTATATTGCCCTTTCAACCACTAGGGGCCAGTGTCATCCCCATGGAACTCGTTCAGCCTTCCTACTGTTTGTTGCGACCAAATCGATAGGGATAAATGTAAATCTTTTTGTACACTTTCGAATCTTCGTGCAGATGACGGACATGTGGGGTTCTGATCTATTTCTTGTATGTCTCTTGTACTTGTATTTCGTTGACTGTATTCTCCAACACCGATTGAATTGGTGGAGAGGTTCTGGAACAGTGTTCTGCCGGTCAGTGAACCAAGTTCACGGTCATTGACCGGATTGCGTGGGAAAGCTGGCGAACTTCGTCGACGTTCATCTGAACACGACTTTCAGGAGTTTCCTGGTCCTACTGTAACGAACTATACTATATCTGGTCAATGCTAGAATCTTTGATTATCCTCGTGCCGCTTCACATATCATTACTCACATAAATGCATGGTTTTCGTGTGTTCGGTTCAAGGGTACGTTTTAAGGCTTAGAACTCGAAGATGGACTCCCGACTTTTGACACACCATGAAGATCGGCAAGAGATCAAACCAAGGATGGTGGTGGGATCACTTCGTGGAGCACCCAGGTTATGCTGTCAAAGACCCAGCTTCGATGGTCAGTGGAAAGGCAAAGGTAGTGTGTGCAAGGCTCTATGAGCAACGTGTTGCGCATGAGCAGGCAATGGATGAGCAGCAGGTACACTTGGGCCAGCGAGATGCACCAAGGGACGAAATGGCAATAGCAGGCACTCGTACGCAAGTTTGTTTTATAGCTTTCTGTTACTAACTTAATGTACTAGTTTGGGCTAGTGGCCCGAATGATCCCCAACGCACCTGGTTAATCAGTCAGCCGACAACACTATTATGTCACTTGCGTGATTGTGCATTGCACTCTGAGGATGTCCATTCGCAAGCACGGCTGGAATACAAAATGGCGCAATCGGCTCTCAACTGAGACACTCACCCTTCTGGCAGAACTCAAGATGTATGTTCATGAAGAGCATGTATGCAACGATGTGGTCAAGAAGTGGCTTCGACGCCGGTACTGTGACACCGAGGCCGCTGACAAAGCAGAGCCTACTCAAGTAGTTCATGCAGTTGGCGACAATCTATCAGGAGAAAGCAGCAAACGGGAGCCACGCAGCCTCGCTTTCGAGAGGCGAGGGATAAGTGATGTTGCAGCAGACCTTATCCGAGCTGTTCAGGAGGAGGAGATTTCCACCACAGAATCAATGCACTCAGTCCCCATTGGTGCTGCCGGTGCCGGTGGTTCATTCTCCCGCATTGCTGTCAGTGACTTACTCGACTATTCTCATGCAGAGGAATGGTTGGGATCTTTTTATAAAGTCGCTATTCGAGGTTTGGATGCTGAGCTTGAGTTATATGAGCTTCTTGACTTAGATGCTGAGGGAATTGATGATCCAGACTTTCGAGCCCCTTCAGTGAATTCACTCCATCTCAGACGGACAGCTGAGTGTGACAATGTACCGTTGGGAACGGGCCATCCCATGTGGGCCCATGGACATAATTGTACCATGAGATACGAGCGTCGAGTGGGCCGGGTGAATGTGTGTACCCAAGACACACGGATGGGCTAAGGGTACATTATATAGACAGTGGTATAGGAATGTATTAGTATATAGGACATTATAAATGCTAATTCCTGTTTACATTGGAGACGAGTGGGCTGGCCGGATGTGTGTACCCAAGGTAAACGGATGGGCCGACCATATGAGTGGGCTGAGTGAATCTGTGTACCCGACACATACGAATGGGCCGATGTAGAAACAACAATACAATGAGGAACAAAAGAAGCTCCTGACTGTATCTGTAAAAGTTGTAAGGTCGCGCGCTGCCTAGTCTGCGTTACTTGAGAAGCAAGTGCGTTCGACCCTATAGGGGAAGTGAGTGCAGCAAGGATCTAGAAGTGTGCGCTTAAGCGAAGCGCGAGAAAGCGCAGGAGCGCGCAAGGTACAAAGGCGCGGGAACGCGCGCGCGTATTAGCGCGAAGCGCGGGAAAGTGCACGCGCGTATGCGGAAATGAGAAACTAAGCTTAAGTAGTGATATAAAGCAAGATAAGAGATATAAGAGTGCAAAATGTAAAGGAATAGCTTTCTACTATATTCTGCTAAGTAGTAAGTGGGTAGTAACTAGTAAGTGAAAAGTAGGAAAAGTAGGTCCCGTGTAGTATGTACTGCTGGCGCTTATATAGCGCGCCTAAGCGCGCTCATGTGGAGCCGAAGCGCTACCGAGTAGGTATGTAAAAATATATATGAGTGAGAAACTAGGATAAAAATAAAGGTGGAACTATGCTAATAAAGGAAATGGAAATATACATACTAGGGAGCTTGGTGGACAGTGGATGGATGCATCTGGATGGCTGGCGCTATAGGGCGCGCAAGCGCGGGAACGCGCGCGCGCGCGTATACATCGTGAAGCGCGGGAATGGTGCGCGCATGGCGCGCGTTGCGTGGGAAAGCTGCGCCTCATATAGAGATAGCTGCGGGTAGCGCACAGAGTAATGCTATGAGTTCGTGCTGTATACTCCTTGGTGAAAACTACCATATCACGCCATGAGAGGCATGATTCTCTACACCGAGAGCATACAGTATAGATAGTTATATAGGAATTTACTAGTATACATGACATTATTAATACCAAATTTTGTGTACGATGGAGACAAGTGGGCCAGCCGGATGTGTACCCAAGGTAAACGGATGGGCCGGGGGTATATAGCAGACTTACAGGAATCTTATTGAATAGCGAATCCGGTGTAAAATGGAAACGACCGAGCCGGACGAATGATATACACTGGAGATCCGGTCATATTATCATCCGGCAGGTGCATTTTAATCACCGGCCCATGATCCGGTAGCTACATTATCCGGTTGATGAATCATTTCACAAGCCCATCGGCCGGTATACTACATACATGAACCGGTCAATCTAATACATACATGAACCGGACAATCTAATACACCATCTAATACATTCTACCATGGCATTAGATTGTCCTTATCGACAAAACAAACTACATGTACTGGCATTACTTGGCCCTATTACCAGAAGGGTTCTTGTCATGCCTAGCACTCACCGACCGACCTTGTTGCCGTGATTGAGGTGCAAATGCCCGGTTTGGTAAAGGAGCCGAAAGGGACTGACCATCTGCCGGCAGATGTGGTGGCCCAGTGAGCATGGTGTGAAGGGTACTAGTGGAGGGCATAGATGCCATTGGGACAGTAGGGGCCGGTACCGGAAGTGCACTAACCGGATGACTGTGTGGACCGGATTCCCCCATGGTGGGGACAGGGTTGATGGTAGAGGTGGAGGGTGTAGGTACCTGCTCATGCCTTGCGACTGGTGAGCCATCTCCGACAGGATGCGTGTTGGTCAAAAACACATCCAGAGTGAAGACATTGTTGGTGATGGAACGACCCAAGGCGCTGATCGAGCCAAAGTCAGGGAATGTGGGGGTATCGGGGATGACAATGGGTGGCGGATTGAATGCTGGTGGAGTTGAACCGGCTGCTGTGGTGGCCCTGTGGCTGTTGCTGAGGTACCGGGCGATACCACTGACCTGAAAAGTCAACTGATCTACCACTCCCTTCTGGGAGGCTAATTCGTTTGTAAAGCTGGCTTGCAGCCAGTCAATACGATGGGACAGCTCATCATGAATAATGTCGTCACGTGTCCGGAGCTGATCCATGTCGATCTGAATTTGTGCCAGGAGGGCATCCATCTGGACATTGGTCAAAGAACGGGGCTGGGGAGTCTGACGAGGTACAGAAATGTCGACAGGAGAGGCGGGTCTTCGAGTATGAGGATAGTCCGGCAAGTACCGGATGTCATCCGGTGTCTCTATCAATGGTGCTGGGGGCAGGGTAGTTTCATCCACGGCTTCGATCCATCGATCCGTCGAAAAATCATCGACAGATACCTCAGGGCCTGCATCGGTAGCAGTGCCAGGATGTTCGGTGCCGGTGAGTGCAGGGGCATCGGTCATATCAACATCGACATCCGGTTCCTCCGGAATAGGACTGGGACACTGAGTTTGGACGACTAGAAGAATACAATTAGTAGATATACTACGGAAAATAAGATACTTGCCTTTACCTTTGCCTTTGTTTTTTGACTGCCCAACGGTCTTGGTTTTTCCGGTTGTCTTGGAGCGAGTGACGATGGCTGTGGCCGGTAGGACCGGATCATCCAGCCGGATGCATTTCATCCTCCACTTGCTGCAAAGAATGCAAGTATGGGCGACCTCGCCCCTTTTGGTCAACCAGCTTTCGCATTTGGCCTTCATAATTGTGCATCTCCTGCATGGTAGGAGAGGCGTACCAATGGGTTTCTATGAAGAATTAGTATAGCACAACCGGTGGAGAGTTACCGGATGTCTTACCGGCTGTGGACGCTTGCCCCTGGTCTTTGCCTTGTCCTTGGCTGTTCTGGTACGATCTATACCGGACTTGGACTATTATCATGATTATATTAGCCATACTCACGATAGGTGCAATAATATGAAAACTTACTGGTAATCGTCCCTCGCCCGGTTTGACCCGTGTCCCAGAAGGCTCAATTGCATTGTCTTCATCCGCCTCCTCCTCCTCCTCCTCCTCCTCCGGTTTGTATTCCTCCGAGTCAGCGGCCTTCTTCTTCTGGTCTGGAGGGGGCAGCATTGGCCGAGTGGTAATGACAATGGTTGGTAAATTCTGTACGAATCAATGACATTGCTGGTGTTGATATTGAAAAAATGAACGTACCTTGTTGATCATTGGCCGGTTATCGCGATCCGGTGACGTTGCCCTTGCCTTCGCCTTCGCCTTTCCCTTTCCTTTTCCCTTCGCCTTGGGCTTATCTTTGCCAATGCGAACTGTATCGCCGTCAGTGTCCGTGTCTGTTAACAGTGGCTTCGACTTGGGGATAGCCTTCCGGGCCCTCTTGACCTGACGTGGGGGACTCGCGCTGAATTGTCATTTGCGTGGTCTCGATGGGCCTGCAATGGCACCAGATGTATTGCCAGGAATGCGGATTGTGTTGGGAGCCGGTGGAGCAGGTGCCGGTGGAGCAGGTGCTGGTACAGGAGCAGGTGCCGGTTGAGGAGCAGGTGCCGGTACAGGAGCAGGTGCCGGTGCAGGTTTGGCTACAGGTGCAAGTGCCGGTACCGGTGCCGGTGGAGGGCCAGATAGCAGTGTTGGTGCAGCGGTAGTGGTTGGTGGAGTGGGAGCAGGACCCAATGTCTTAGGGTATAATGGATGACCTCGGCAAATGTCCTCATTGTTGCCAACACGAGTCCAATCCGGTACTTGAACCAATTGCGTGGTACCCCCCTGAGCTCTATGAATCTCAGCTGCCATAGAGAGCAGGCGAAGGGGGATGTAGGTAGCTGTCGTCCGGTAGGAGTGAATGGCATCATTCTAACGATATTAATGGATACAATACAAAAAAAATGACAAACATACCATTTGAGATGCAATGGCTCTGCTCAACCTCATCCTCTCATCTTCTGACCGGGACCGGAGAACCTCTTCAACCATCTGATTCAACCTGGCGAGAAGGGCAATGAGTGCCTGGTTGGCAGTGGCGGCAGCAGCAGTACTAATGTTGGAAGACATATCAGCAGTAAGACAAAATGACAGTAGCAGGTTGGCTTGCAAAAGAAATCCGGAAGGGAACGAGGAAATGGAAAATTGCCGGATGTTCGGGTGATTTCGGATATTGCCGAAAGAACAATGAATGTACCGGTTCTCTTGATCTGGCAGGGAACGAGGAAATTGAAAATTGCCGGATGTTCGGGTGATTTCGGATATTTCCGAAAGAACAATTAATGTACCGGTTCTCTCCTCCGCAGTTGCCATGTGTCCTTGTGCGAATGCCATTGTTGCCACGTCATCACTATCAAATTGGCGTGAGTACAAGCATCCACTGACAGGCTTTGGAACAACCCATGACACATTCTGGATATCGCACAAAATATACTGATTTAGACAAGTCATTCAGCAGAAGGAGGAAAAGAATTTCGCCCTCAGAGATTATTGAGGATCATTTACACTTATCTAGCGAGGCCAAAGGTAATAAATCAATTGCCTTTCTGGAAGGTACCTCACATGATCCGGTGTAGAAACAACAATACTGAGAGGAACAAAGAAATGCTCCTGACTGTATCTAAAAAGTTGTAGGTCGTGCGTTGCCTAGTCTGCGATACTTGAGATGGCAAGTGCATTCGACCCTAAAGGGGAAGCAGGTGCAGCGGAGATCTAGAGGTACGCGCTTCAGCGAAGCGCGAGAAAGCGCAGGTGCGCGCAAGGTACGAAGGCGCGGGAACGCGCGCGCGTATTAGCGCGAAGCGCGGGAAAGCGCGCGCGTGTAAGCGGAAATAAGAGAGATCAAACTTATGTGAAGATATAAGCAAGATAAAGGATGTGAGATGTGTTGTGCTAATGAATAGATTTCTACTGCGACTTTCTAAGTAGTAAGTACTAGGTAAAGTTGGGTGAAAAGTAAGGTAAATAATAGTATGTACTGCTGGCGCTTATATAGCGCGCCTAAGCGCGCTCATGCGGAGCCGAAGCGCTACCGAGTAGGTATGTAAAAATATATATGAGTGAGAAACTATGATAAAAATAAAGGTGGAACTATGCTAATAAAGGAAATGGAAATATACGCACTAGGGAGCTTGGTGGACAGTGGATGGATGCATCTGGATGGCTGGCGCTATAGGGCGCGCAAGCGCGGGAACGCGCGCGCGCGTATACATCGTGAAGCGCGGGAATGGTGCGCGCATGGCGCGCGTTGCGCGGGAAAGCTGCGCGTCATATAGGAATCACTGTGGATGGTACACAGAGTGATGCTGCGAGTTGGTGCTGTATACTCCCTAGTGTAAAGCGCCATATCACACTATGAGATGCACGAGTCTCTACACCGGCAGTGTTTTTCATATTGGAACCGGGACACGACAGCCTTGGAATGAATTGCTCAAACATTGGCGACTGTAAGTCCTCTCATACTGACCTATACACCTAATTATTGATGCCTTCTAGACCTAGATGTTGCATCTGCTTATGACCGGTGGAAGGATGGCAAGACTTTGACGATGCCAGAATGCAGGATCAAGAACAGCCGGTCATTAGACATGGGTTTCGACCGGTTCCCAAGCCAACCGGTGTCAGACACATTGGATATGGGGTTCCCTCTGTCCAATACTAACCGGTCTTCAATTGCCACACCTATATCCGAGTTGGACATGGGATTTCCACCTGGCCATTCATTCAATACCAATGATTTCGCAGAGCCGGCGACCGGCTCTCTGAACTTCCTGGCACACAATCAACTGGCCGGTGGCTCAGGTATTTGGTTGATTCAATATGCAAGGAATGGGATTACTCATGATTATCATCAAGTCAATGTTTTGGTGAAAGACAGCCCTTTGGACATGGGTTTCAATTCACCTCCGGTTCAACACGGTCATCCGGATATTGACATGGGCTTTCGTTCACCGGTTCAACATCATGATCCGGACCAGAGGTCATTAGACATGGGCTTTCATTCACCTCAGGCTCAACATCATGATCCGGACCAGATGTCATTAGACATGGGCTTTTATTCACCTCCGGTTCAACATCGTGATCCGGAGCAGATGTCATTTGACATGGGTTTTAATTCGCCTGTGGTTCAACATGATCATCCAAACCAGAGGCCTTCCGGTGTTGATCCGGTTGATATTCCGGATCAGTCAAGTGAGTTTTATCATTTTATTAGGTTACACTGTTACATGTACATTCAGTGGGTCTTCGATCGGAAGAGACACCTTTGGACATGGGCTTTGGGACAGATCCGGCACATGATCTTGCCCATCAATTGAATATTCAACCGGAAGAGACCCCTTTGGAGATGGCTAGTGAACTGGAACCTATCGGATTTGTGATTCAGCGTGCTGTAGGTGACTTGCGCTTGGCAATGCACTGGTTGGAGATTGAAAGGGCTCATGGTACAATGTCGCCGGAAGAAGCACTTGTCAGCGAGGAAGTTCTTCAGTCCACTAGTGAGTTATTATTGGCATTTCAACTTATATCAATATACCGACTGTCGACATGACATCTATATATATACCATTGATACTTTCCACCCCTTGTATAGTACATTCAATGAAATGTGATGATTACGCTCTTTGCATGTAATTCACTTTATAAGACACCTTTGCAGCTCTAGTGGAGCGCTTTGGCTCCGGCTTATCAATGTGGGCTCCATCTGTTTGAGTTTTCTTACCAGTGCCCTGTGTGGTGGCAGGAGCCGTTGGTTTAGGTGCAGGTATCTTCTGACCGGACTTCTTCATTCGACTGGCTGATGCAGGACCAACAAAGCTACTTCTCGATGCAGTTTTGGGAGGCAGTGGGGCTGTAGAATGATTGCTGGATGATTCTGCTGAAGGAGTGCCAGCATCGTCCTCCAGTGGTATGTTGCGCCCAATGACATTTGATTTAGATTTCTTGACCAATGGGCCGGAGTCTTCCTCCGGATGAAATCTGACAGCTCTGCTTCGCTTTCCAATAGATTGGTGCTCCGGGGGCGGTGATTGGACTTCAGCATCGCCTTCATCCCCATTCTCTTCCTCACCACTTGACTCCGCTTCCACCCTTCCGGCCGGCTTACCGGATGATTTTCTGGTTGACTTTGCAGGTGGTTTTTTAACCGGAATAGATTGGACAGCTTTGCCTGGCTTTCCGGTCGATTTCAGCTTGGAAGGCGGTGATCGAGCTTCATCGTTTTCACCTTCACCTTCACCATCCTCGCCCTCACTGCTTGACTCCGGTTCCACCCTGATGGTTGACTTGCCAGATGACTTTCCGGTCAACCTACCGGTTGGTTTTTGAACTGGAACTCTGGTCTTTGCTGTTACTGGACTGCATGTTGTGCTAGAGTCGCCCTCTGAGATCTTCTCCACCGGCTCCCTCATCTCCTTCTCATGGTCTTGCCAGCCTTTGAATTCAAATGTTGGCCGAACCTTGTCCTTTTGTCTCTGATGCCAGAACTGCAAGAGCTGGTCAGCGTCATGCAACTGAAGCTTGGACGGGTCCTTGATCTTTCCACCGGTAGGCAAAAACTTGGGCTCGATGAAATTCTCTTGAGCCTCCGTCACTGCAGACCAAGGAACAGACGCCTTTGGCTTTTGACTGCAAAACCCTGCGAAATAAGTAATTCCTCTATCAACCCTCCAGATATTTCATTTGTGAAACTTACTGTAGTGTTTTGTGAGGAATGTCCGGATAAGAGACTTTTTGTTTTCTAAGTTGAGGGGCTCAATATCCGGTATGACCGGAAGCCCATAGGCATCGACCTCTAAAGTAAACTCCTCCTTCTTTCTCCTTGGATTTCTGCTCTCCTTCCCATCAGCATCCTCATTGCCATCGTCATCATTATTCCGGTCAATTGCTGGCATCACATGGTGTAAGTACTTGACCAGATGCATCAACATTGCACAAAAAAGAAGCTCACCAAACTCTTCTCCGACATAGGCATTCCACTCTGGTAACATGGACTTCCAGTCCTTTGTATCTGTGAAACTATTGCCCTCTAACTTTTCATTGAAGTCAATTCTTATGACCAGATCAGGCCGTCTTTACCGGTTGAGAGAATTAAAATGTCACTCACCCATTGATCCTCACCTCGCCTTCCTCGGTTTTCCATGCAGACAATATGAATATCCTCATACCAGCCTGCCTCCATAACTGAGTCGCAAGATCCTTCATCATACCAGGAGCTTTCTTCTGAGCGAACTCAGCCTGGACATCTGTAGGAGGAGCACTGCTAGACCATTCTATAGCAGTCGTATTTGCTTCATCCAGCTGCTCTTCAGATAAACCGGCCATAATTGCATTGACCGCACCCTGGTAGTGTTTAATCATTTCCTTCCCTCCTGGCCTTGCTCCTGTCTTTTCAAGGATCTCCTTCTTGTACTGGTGTTCTATCACCAACCGGGTAGTCCATTTCTTACTGAACTTGCTTCGTTTTTTGAGTGTCTTTTCCGCTCTCCGGTTATATAACCAGTCCCGGTACATCTTCATCCATCATGAGCATTTATGAAATTAGAAGATTGGCTGCTTACAGATTTCCTTTTCTTCAACAGCCGGGCATCCATCTTAGGGGCTTTCATCTTGGCCTCTTTTATGACCGCCCTCAAAATCGTTTTCCTATCCTTACCGGTCGCTTCCTTCCATTCTTCTAGGTGAGATTGTAAGACCAGCAGCTCTTCCTCAGTCAATTTCTGCTTGGTCTTTTGGGGGCTGTGTACTGATGAGTTGGATCAGGCCATTGCAAAGCAGTTGAGGTCTTGGTAGAAGAAAGGATACAGTATAATCTTACATAGCCAATCGCCACCATGTATCCGAAAGTAGAACCGAACAAGAGATTGTCTGCCAACATGATACTCTCAGGCTTAACATGCCCTGTGTTTCCGGTTTATAGAATTTAGGACTGCAAAACACACAAACTTAGACCAAGTTTATCATATAGTATACAGGCAGCATACAGTAATACTCTTAAAATGCCATACAGCATAGGGAGACACATTTATACCGGAAGAAATCTATGGGAATTGGGATGATGGCAGGATTACGATGTGTTTGATTAACTAACCCGGAAATGACGAAACTTATGGCAAACTCGGTTGCTCTGACCTTAATATATCCTAAATAGAGATGATGTTCCAAGATTTCTGATCACCCGGTGTAGAAACAACAATACAATGAGGAACAAAAGAAGCTCCTGACTGTATCTGTAAAAGTTGTAAGGTCGCGCGCTGCCTAGTCTGCGTTACTTGAGAAGCAAGTGCGTTCGACCCTATAGGGGAAGTGAGTGCAGCAAGGATCTAGAAGTGTGCGCT